TTTATAATGTATAGACATATTATTAAATAACACTTTAATGCATGTAGAGAAAGTCTTAGATTCGACAATCTTCGGTAGTTGTTGTGTCGTTGATAGATTGGATATGTCTAGTTGTATTAAATAAAAAGTACAACTTGCGGGATACATGTCACAGTTCCTGCTAGTTAAATATTGAATCCACATGCTACTATAAGGTAAGTTGTCACGAGACTAACTTTATGTTCAATATATATATAATAAATTTCTAACTGGACGGTCATAAACGATCTATGTGTCGAGAATAAACTGGTCCGATCTAACCCAAAACCTTTAATTGACTATATCCACACCACTACTCTACAAACCAAATTGACCGAATAACATATGGATACATTATATTTTGGATTCCACCGGTTGCACAGCGTGTATGCATGCGTCGTGCTGGGTTTGTGTGTGTGGTCCTATTTCGTGCTCCATGCATCGATCTTGTTTTTGTGCATGCAATGCGTGGTCCATGCACCACCATGCCGCTTTTTGAACGGCGGTCTGAGACATATACAGTAGCTAGATAACTATACCAGCTATAGCTAGCTCAGCGAGATCGATTCGAACTCTTTTGAAAACCAAGTTGTGAGATGTGCGAGCCTATATAGCATAAAGTAGTGCATACCTATACGAATGCAAAGCTAGAGACGCAAAATAATTGGCTAACCTATACGAATGCAAAGCTATACGGTATATGCATGTACTCCACTCTCTCCTATAGCTAGCTACTATTCGATCGACAGGTGTATTGGCACAGTATCTTTTGCCAATCTTTATTTTTGGCCCCTGCAGGGTTACTTTAATTGTGCGCGTGATTGGTCGGTCCGTAGCTCGCTGTAGTGTGGGCACCACCACACACACACACTGTGTGGCCCCCCCTGCGCGCCCTCTGCCACTGCATGCGCCTAAGCTAGGAAGCAAGATCCATCTCCTCCATCGCTAGCTTGAGCTGTCATTTGGCCGCACGTCTGCAGATCGATCGATCGGTTTTTGTGGGGAGTAGATGGCATGGTCGCCGACCGATCGATCGACGGCGAGACCTTAATTCGTACGATCGATGCGGCGCCGTACGTACGTACCTGCGTGCGCGCCGGCCGGCGACAGTTCGTCGGTCGATGGATGGATGGATGCAGAGCGCGAGCGGCGCGCGCCGCTCGTAGCTGGTATAGCGATCGAGCTAGACATGCGGCATGCGCGCGTGGTAGGAAACGATGTGGAGACGGCAAGAGGAGACAAAGTCACAAAGAGAGACCGATGTACTATGCGTGTTTGTGATGACCGGCGTATGCGGTAATTGCGTATGCCGTGCCGACACGATAGATCGGGGCCGGGCCAAGTGATGATCGTACGTACCTTCCTGAGTCCTGACTCGTAGTCTCGTACTAGCTCCGTCCGTTAGTCGGGAAAGTCCAATGCATGTGACGTGCAAGTGTACCTGTAGTCCATTTAGCCCCTATTTACTTCACACCAAACTTCCCCCAAACTCCCAACTTTTCATTATATCACATCACATCAAAAACTTTCCTACTCACATAAATTTCTAACTTTTTTTTTCCAAACTTCTTCCCCAATTTCAAAAACTAAACACAGCCTTAGTACTGTATTTGTTTTGAAATTCAAGCATACATCGCGGATTTTAATAACGTATACAATATTGTATTCCTCTGCTTGTGGTAACATATATACTAGTAGATCGTAGTAAAGCATATTTAATTGCTTAGCCTGTAGATGATAATATGATATGCGCTAGTGCTTGGTAAAAATCATGTTCTCATTAATTATTTACAAGTTTATAACGTTGACACAATTTCTATTGTACATATTTTACCATTGTTTTTCTAATTATGAATTTGTGAAAGTAGTTGAAAATACAACAATATGAATGTATTTTTCATAACAAATTAGTACTACTAGTTTCATTTTTGGATAACAAATATTAATATATATATTTTCACATAGTAGGATTTAAAATATAAAACATTAACATCATCATTATTTTTTTCTGATTCTCATCGTGTGTCTACTTAAATAGCTGCCTCTCAGATTATGGTCTATTTGGTCGAGCTCGAACTTCAAGGAGGTGGGTCTGGAGTGGAACAGCCTAAACCCAGCTTCACCTCTCTAGTTCATTTTGTGAGAGCGCTACACCTAGCTTCGTTTCTTTTTTAGTGGAGCTGAAACTGTTTGGCTGGCTTCCAGCTCCTAACAAACCCTTAGTCTCCAGCTCCCACACACTACACAAATGACCGTAATGTGACATCGACAGAAGGAGGTGAGAGAGATAAAAGATGGGAAATGATGCTAAACTCTCGAGTGGACAATATTCCCTCGATTTTCATATCATTTAAATGGTTATATATTTATTTTAGAAAAACTAGCAAGATAGATAAATATAAGATGTATCACTTCACAAACATATAAGATCGAATTTAACTTCCTATAATTCATAACATAATAAATAAATTTGACTGTGAATGTATGTTAACAAGCTATAGTTTAGTTTGTTCTTTTTGTTGCAACTTGTATTGGTAGAATTTAACTTATATGTTTTAGAGTGATATATCACATATTAATCTATCTATGTTATCTTTTTTTTATAACTATTCGGATGATATGTGAGAGGATATTTTCTCGAGAGTTTAAAATCTATTTACAAAGAGGGTGTACTGTACGAGTGCAAAAAAAACATTATGCATTATTATTTTCATGTGGCACGATAAATACTGGTGTCGGAGAATTGTCGTCGTCCTTCTTGTCTTCTTATACGTTCTTCACCTCTCTCTATTGCCAACAACAGTAGCCATTAACTGAGCGGGATATCTACCCCCTTTCTCTCTCTAGATCTCTCTGTCTTAACTGAAGACATGCATAGCACTACTTTAGTTTGGTCCCTTCAAAACATGATGTCTTGTGTACAATGATTAAAAGGTAGGGCCGCTATAAATTCCTATCTCTGTGGAGTGAGCCAGATGTGTAGTACCCCTATTTGGTACGCCGCTTATCTCTCCACCCACCCAAATGTTTCCTGATCTGGCAGCTTTCATGTGGCTTGCCTGGACGTGCGACTGTCTGCTCACTAGCTCCAAACAACGTTTAAGTGTCCCCGATTTGAGAACTGACCATCTCCCGATTTTAGCAGCACATATACTCCGTAATCTATTGGTCTGTACATACATTACCACATTCTTATTGTCTTTGGTACTCTTAACAAATTCCAAGTGTGTAGTATTAAGGATGCACATGCAGTATGCTCCTTTTTTTTTCTAAGAAAGAAAAATATAACCTGACCTGAAACTTATAAGATTGTGTGGTATGCTCCGATTCTTCAACGGAAAATTGATAACTGTTGCCCTTCGCTTTATTCATATATAACTGTCGTCGTGGGTCAGATGGAAAATTGAGCAAGATGGGGGCCTCCCAAATCTTCTAATTGGGCCTTTCGCAGCCCATCCAAAGATTGCCCGCTTCAGGAAGCCCGCGATGCCGCACGTCGTTGCACCCAGCACCCGTCCGATGCGGACGCCCCAAACGCACACGCGCTTGCCGATCTAGCGTAGCCGGCCGGGCCGTTGCGCTTCGGCGAGCTAACGCCGGGCGCGCCGAGATCCATCCACCGAGGGGAAGCCGTGCGTACGTGCCGAACTGAGCTGCGTGCGCGAGCTCACGCGGAGGTAACGCTCACCTCGCCAGAAAACCTGGCGATCGCGCGCACGCACCGCATGTCGTACGGGCGGTGGCCGCTCGCACGAGCGCGAGTCGCGTGCCATCCAGCTACCCGGTGGTCCCGGTCCCTGCCGCAACGCGGGTCTAGGCCGAGGCGGTAAGACCCAACCCTGCCATATCTTTGCGGCGCCTCCTATTCCGTCAAGGCAGGCCGCAGCCGGCAAATCCACTGTGAACTGATCCGACGAGCTGTGTGCACGGGGAAACAGGGTGAGGAATAAGTTCACTTTAGGTCCCTTAATTTGTCACCGAGTAGGAAATTCATCCATGGACTGCAAAACCGGATACAACGCATCCCCCAATTTACAAAATCGTGCAAACGAAATCCCTTGGCAGTATTATACTCCGGTTTTGGCTGACGTGGCAACTATGTGGCTCCTTTGACTAGGTCTTCATCCCACGTGGCATTGACGTGGCGCTTACATGGCAATTCGATCCGAAAAATTGATAAAACAGGACCTACATGTCAGTTTCACATACAAAATAATAAAAAATGGTAGGTCCATGTAGCCCACATGTCATCCTCACTACTCCCCTATTCTCTCTATCCTCTCTCTCCTTTTATCTCTACCCCCCTCTCTCCGACGGGAAAGCAGCGGCGCGCAGGCGCTGGCCGGCGGGAGGAGAGGAGCCATAGGCAAAGCCCGAGGGGTGAGCCTCCTCCCTCTCCGCCCCCCTTACCGGGCGGTGAGCTTGGTAGAGCCAGAGCCGAGGGGGCAGGGATCTGAGAGGGAATGGAGAGGGAGAAGCGGCCGCTTCCCACGACTCCTTTCCTCCCATCGGTCAACGCTCGCGCATCACTCCTCTCTCGCCAGCCACTGCGCGCCACTTCTCTCCCACCGGCCACTGTCCGCGACTCCTTTCCTGCTGGCCGCCGCTCGCGTCTCCTTTCCTACCCGTGGCTCCTCTCTTCCTGCCGGCCGGCGCTTGCATCTCCTCTCCCGCCCCGGCGAGGTCGATGAACACGGCGACATCCTTCTCATCCACCCGACCTGCTGCTCTACCTGCGGCCTGCCGCCGCTCCATCTCGCTTGGCCTGCGAGAGAGAGAGGATAGAGAGAAGAGTGGAGTAGTGAGGATGACATGTGGGGACACATGGGCCCCAACAATTTTATTATTTTTTGTGTGAAACTGACATGTGGGTCCCGTGGGTTTTATTATTTTTTCAGATTGAATTACCACGTAAGCGCCGCGTCAAGAGAGCCACGTAGGCGCCACCGATAGCCAAAACCGGGGACAATAGTGCTGAAGGACCTCGTTTGCATGGTTTTGTAGGTAGGGGATGTGGGGATGAATTTCGAACTTGGCGACAAATTGAGGACCTGATGTGAACTTATTCGAACAGGGTAAACCCATGTCAGGGCAAGCTACGTGCGTGTGCACGATGACGAAGGTTTGTCTGAAACTCTGAAGGCGGCCACAGGCCACTTATTCAACCCGCAGTTGGTTGCTGTGGACTACCGAGGCACCCATTTCAGTTGTACCATGCGTTATGGACTTCCACCTGCTCACGGTTCATTGCTAGCACAAATTTTCGCCGGACGATTACTAGCAGAATTTAGTACTACTCTGTTCCGGATTAAGCTTTTGGCCAACTTGCGGGCTTTACCTTTACTTTACTGAAGCAATCATTAGGATCCAATTATGCTTTGCTTCCAGCAAAGTACACCTTGAATAGTATATACGAGGTTTAGTACGTACTTTGATGTCATAATCACTGTAGCTAGTAGAGTATCCGACCGACACCAGCCCCTCTCGCTAGAATGTTGCACACACCGAGTACTCTGAACTTACAACCGACGAGCAACAGATTCACTTGCTTCTCGTTCTGAATTCCGAACCACTTCTGCAGATTCACAGGCCTAGTTGGGTAGTTGGGTACCACACACGTTACTGCTTAGTGCTTACTTGCAAGGTTCCCTTCGAGGGTGTCCTGGCAATTTTCCCTCTGATCTGCAGCTCTTTACTCTTGTTGTGCAGTTACCAGATGAATTGTAGTAGTAGTAGTTAGTCTGCGTACGAAACAACAAAGATTGATATGTGCAAACAACTTCCACACAACCATAAATATACATTTCTTGCAATCTTTACACACTCGACACAAGCTCATCCTGTCATTCATTCAGTCAGTAGTCAGTAGGTACGACTGAAAACGAAGCTATCTCCCTGCACATCCTGATTCGCCTTACCTTACGTTTCAAGTCAAAGCATGTCGTGAGAAAATTTATCGGATGTCTGTTCGTTTGTTCGATTGTTTGTTTGTTTTCTACGTACCAAACTCTGAAGCGAAACGCTCAACCACCAGCTGCTGCAACGGTGCTTCAAATTGGACGAGTGGTCATTGCTGAAAGAGAGAGAACGGCATTGCGATTTGCAGCATATTCAGAATGTTCATCAGTGGTGACAGAGCTCGAGACCTCGATCCGTATGTGATATGTTTGCTACTTAATACAGTAGTTAGTTAGGGATTGCATCAAAAGCAGAAAACAGAATGCAAATGTGAGGTTGTTAATGTGAATCTAGCGCAGGTTCTTTTAGGAAAAAAGATGGCTAGTTCGGAAAATGAGGACAGGCCAAGGAGTAGGCAAATATACTAGAAGGACAAAACAGAGAGATCCGAGCAAGATATGTTCGATTCTTGCTCTCTTTTCTACTCTGCTTTTTGTTTCTTTCCTCGATTTTACTCGCAGATATGGATAGCAAGCAGGTTTGCAAGTAAAAGGTACAAACAGACAAGTTAATCACGGTGTGATACGATTATGACATCTTGGGGCATCATAATCAGTGGAGAGCAGATCTTTCGCCCTCAAATATTTGCAAACTGTAGCCCTGAAACATCCGGCAACTATCTGACACAACAGTTTGAAAATGAAAATGATTTTGACAGAGCACCACCGAAAAATTGACTACTGATGTATCAAGGCTCAGCAACAACAATCGTTGCTTGGTGATCATTAACATCACAACCAATTGAACAGGAGTGACAAAGGATAATGACAAAGCTGATTCTTGAAAATGACAGCATTCCACTGATATCTCTATTCTAGTAGTAATTACTAGGAAAACATTTTAGTAATAATTAGCAGTTTTTTTCCCCGCACAGCACATAGCAAAAATAAGTTGAATTAGATTTTAATACCCTTCCTTTTGTTTGTATAAACTTAATTTTATATTGTACACAAGCATATCGATAAATTACACCGTTATAACGACTCACCGCGATCAAACAGTGCACATCTATCTCTTTTTCTCTAATTTAATGTGTAATTTCTAAACTCCAATTTTGCCATTTGGATGACACGTGAACTTTTTACTCCTACCGATAACAGAAGTTACAACGTGTTGCTCTGCCAGTTTCTCTGTCAGTAGTGTTCGGTAATCATCATTGTCACTCCTCTCTTGTTACAGAGACCAATCCCAATGATGGTCAGGTCAGATGATCGGCGGCGGCGACGTCTCCCAGACGTCGACGACATTCTCCTCGTTGTGCAGGGCGAAGAGGCGGTCGCCGCCGATCGAGAAGTCGCAGATGGCGCCGGCGTCGCTGCCCCGCAGCGTCGACGTCAGCACGTGGTCGGGGCCACTGAACACCGAGATGGTGTCGTTGGTCGACGCGAAGAGCTGGCCGCCGTGCGCGGCGAGCTTCGGGTAGCACGTCTCCTCGCCGCGCGGCGCCGCCTTCTTCTTCCTGGCGGCGAGCTTGCTCCGCGACCTCCACCGCACGCCGCCGGCGCCGCCGCTGCTCCGGACGTCGAGGAACCCGAGGTCGTCGTACTGGTTGATCACGCAGAGCGACCGGCCGTCCTCCATCGCGATGGCGTGCAGCACGTGCTTGTCCTCCAGCGACGCCGGCGTGCCGACGTCGGACCACGACCAGGCGACGTTCTTCTTGTCCCGGAAGTCCAGCAGGCTGATGAAGGAAGAGTCCGTCCGCGGGAACATGGTCGCCGCCATGAGCGTGCTCGTGCCGTCGAGCCACTGGAGCTTGTCGGCGTCGCCGAGCGCGCAGCCCGGCGGCTCGTAGAAGAAGTCGGCCTGCTCGCCGGTGGTGCAGTCCCAGACGCCGATGCCGTACTCGTTGAACCGGCCCTTGCAGCTCGCGAAGACCTTGCACCGGCTGTCGAAGGCGAGCGCCCCGGGGGTGTAGGACCTGACGTGGCGATCGTGCGCGACGCGGAAGCGGTGGCGCAGGTCGCCGGTGAGCGCGGAGAAGGCCGCCACGCCGCCGTCGCGCCTGCCGGTGCCGGGCCTCTCCCGCGCGGCGACGAGGAGCGTGGCCTCGTCGAGGTAGGCCGCGTCGTTGACCGGCGCGTGGTCGAGGTGCACGGCCCGGCGCTCCTCCATCACCCAGTTGTACACGCGCACGGCGCCGCCGTGCGCGACGCAGCAGCCGCCGTCGGGCGCGGCGCGGACGGCCGTCCCGTCGCCCGCGGCGCTCCCGGCCACGGACGCCGCCAGCCGCAGCCGGTCCCCGTCGAACGGCCCCCACCGCGCGGCGCGGACGCGGTCGAGGAGACCGTAGTAGAGCGCCTCGCGGCAGAGCACCCCGTCGGCGACGTGGGGCGGCACGTGGAGCCCCCCCGTGCGGAGCAGGTCGAGCAGCACCGCGAAGCACTCCGGGTCACGGTCGATGAAGTACTCGTCCGCGCCACCCTCGCCGTCGCCGTCCCCGCCGCCGCCGTGGTTCCAGGAGGCGTCGATCATGGCGCCGAGCATGGTGTCCCGGCCGGCGCTGGCGAGCGTGGAGGCCATCGTCTCGAACACCCGGCCTCCGACGTTGAGCCGCACGCGGCCCCGCTTCCCCTTCATGGCCTCGCACTCGCGGGGAGGTGGAGAGCGAGTGGCGCGCGCGACGGTTTGGTTTGGTTGGGGTTGGGGTTGGGCCACGCCCTCGCGTCGCGCGGCTGCAGTGGTGACGCGGGGCGTTTTTGCAGTGGGTTCCCGTATAAAACGGGCTCGCGCGCGTGCCGGGCCTTCAGGTGGCGGGCGGGTGAACCGGCGGAGGATTTGATCGGGTCGCGGGAGACGTCACCCAACCCCACGGGTATCGCGGCCGTTGCTTTCACGCGAGACGGGGGGGAGTGGCGTTCGGGGTTGGGGATTACGGTGGGGGCGGCGCGAGCGGTGGTGGATTTGGGGGACTTTTGGGGCGCGTGGTGGCGTCGTCTCCGCGACTCGCCGACTCGGGTGGCAGCGCGGTGAACGGCCCAAGTGAGCGAGGACGGGGTACGAGTCCTTGTAATGGTCACGTAGTGGAGTAGAAAGTTGTGTTTGTGTGGGTCGGTTGGAGTTGGACTGGCACGTTGCACGCGGTCGGAGAGCCCCCACGATCCCGAACCACTCCCCGTTCTACCAATGCGCACCACGGCACTACGTAGTTCCAAGCTTTAAAAAGAAATGAAAAGCTCCAACATTGCCGAGTCCAACTAGTGCTACCACCCAAAGAATTTGTATAAGTATAACTACAGGGCGCTAAGGGCAGGTACAATAGCATGGTATAAGCCAGCTATAAGCATATTTTAAAGAGATAAAAGAAGAGATAGAAGAGCAGCGGGCTACAGATCTGTAGCCAGTTGCAGCACGGACTCTAAGACGTAATGTGTGTATGACAGGTGAAACCATGTATTAATAATATACTTCCTCCGTTTTATAATGTAAGTCATTCTAGTATTGCCCACATTTATATAGATGTTATGTGTGTCTAGATTCATTAACATCAATATTAATATGAAAAATGCTAAAATGACTTACATTGTGAAACGAAAGGAGTAGTAAGCAACTATTGTATGAATTAGCTATTACATTGGTTATAGATGATTTGGAGCTAGTAATTGGCTATACTATTAAACTTGCTCTAATGGGAGGGCGGTTCACAGTTAGCCCAGTTCCGGAAGACCAGCGGATGCGGAATTTACTGGAGAATCGCCTCTCGCTCGTAATCCCATAAAGCACGGCCTTTTTGTCATTTAACTTCCCCGCAAATAAAAAATATTGGATTGAACTTTTAAAGAGATGATATGCACTAACCTAGGATATGTTAGGCACGTAGCTCAATCATGGCCTTCGTTTCTTCTGGCTGAATTCAGGCAGCCTCACAGCTCTGCAAAGGACGGAAAAGTTAACAACGCTACGCTAGCTGAATCATCATCCTCATCATCAAGGATAAAAACTGGGACTCAAATGGCACATCCCGCACGCGTTGTTGCCGATCCAAGCGAGGCATGCGAGGTGATAGGATCACCCGGGTCCCGGGGCGACGAAAAATTGTGCAAAGAAAACGACGCGTCCTGCAAAAGGGAGGTGAGCTGATCAAGCATCGCACTTACTAGGTCCTATCCTGGTCGACTCCACTGTCGGATAACATTCACAATGTTTCTTGTCTGACGAGACCGTGTTCTTTTCGTTTTTGACCGGCGCAAGGCAGTGCATGACCCCGTTATAAAACGACGGCGACCATCTATTGCAAACTAGACATGGACAGCTGCCGAATCCCGCTATCGCGTCTCGGCTTGAAGAGAGATTCAATTCCAATTTCAGTTGACTCTTATGAAGATATATAGAGTTTACTAGTGTCAAATTGACCAGTAGGGGACTGAAACATTGCAAACTGAACAGTTTAGACCTAACCCCTTGACCGATGATGCTTCCCAGATGACCAACGAAATCATAAGCCGTTGTTTCTGAAAAATTAGGTGACGTTCATCTTGTAACGTGTTAGTTGACCACTGAACATCTTTTCTGTCGACTTGGAGATGGGATAGTTGGGAGAAATAATGGAATAGTTGACCTGGTTAGTGTCTGCCTCCGCTATGGCATGAGATGAGAGGAGACGACGAGACGACCGACCAAGTCAATACTAGTTGATAATGGTCGTGCCGTCATGGACTTGGTAGCCCACTAGCCCGAAGAGGAACAAGCCGTGTGGCCTCATGGGTATGCACTATGCAGTAATCTGAACCTCAATTTCCAGACGTTTGTTTCCATAGGCCATGTTTAGTTCATTGGCCAATTTTTTTTTAAGTATACGGACACACATTTAAAGTATTAAACATAGACTAATAACAAAACAAATTACAGATTCCGCCTATAAACTGCGAGACGAATTTATTAAGCTTAATTAATCTGTCATTAACAAATGTTTACTGTAGCATCACATTATTAAATCATGGCACAATTAAGCTTAAAAGATTCGTCTCACAATTTACATGCAAATTGTGTAATTGATTTTTTTTCCACATTTAATGCGTCATGCATGTGTCCAAACATTTGATGTCTATTTTTGTCCAAAAATTTTTGGGATCTAAACACACCCATAGCCACTGAACGAATGCACAGGGGCCAATTCTTACATGGACTGTTATTGGCTTGTTGTTACCACTGTTAAGACTAAAATATAGCTATTTCTAGAATACAAATTTGTTTTAAAATGCAACTATTTCTTCGCCAAATCCTCTCATCTTAACCAATCTATCCCTATTTAATTTTTCTATTACTTTCTCTTCTAAATCAATCATAACCTTTCACCATTCATTTATCCTATCTAATTCCTTAATTCCTGTGAAAAATCTAAAGAAATGCTTTACATTTAAGGTTGAAGTGGCAACATGCAATCTCTATAAGTTGTGATAACTTTTTACGCTGGCCTTTATCGATGATATAAATGATTTTCATCCAATTCCAATTGTAATTAGGAGTGGCCCTTTAGGTTTCTCCTTCCATTAAAAATGTACCTATTTTATATTTTGGTTTTTCCAAATAAGTTAGTTATATTTGTAGTCCTCCATGTATCTAAGATTTAAATGAAGAGATATATTAAATGTTTGATCAAAACTCAATGAACTATCTTAAAACTATCTTTATTACATGTAAGATAAGTTAATTTCTTTTTAGTTTTAGTAACAAAGTAACATGTGCAACTTTTTGAATGAAGGGAGTAGAGCTTTAAGGCTTAGCCATACCTCTCATGGATAATGCTGGAAGTGCAGAGCTTAGCCAGGCCGTAGTCAGCTTCAACATGGTTGCAATCTGCGACAGGGAGATCGCTGCTTCCACTGGCATATATAAAACGTTGAACAGAATAACATAAGTACAGAATTAAGTATGCCAAGATAAACACAATGAGACAACCTGACAGTTGTGAAACAACCTGCAGAGATGACAGAAAGCAGTTAGCAATAGGCATGATCTCCCAAAAGAGACAATAGACGAAAAAAAAAAGAGAAGATAATGTATACTCTACTCGCAGAGGAATATGAGCTCTGAAAAACAGGATTTCTTAATGGTGCCAGGCAGGGCTGACAGACCGGCACATTAGCTACAAAACTCATTTGCTCATATGGCCTAAATAAATAAGACATCAACAGGCTAGCTACAACATCATCCGACACAACTATGATGTCATTGGCCTCTTGGCAAGCATGGGGTTCAACCAACCATTAAAAGTTGCGCACTTGCGCCTAACATCACAACTACAGCATTTTTATCTTGTCTACAACCCCTAGTTAAAACCGCTACATGCCCAATCAGTTGGCATTCCAATAGGTCACCCGACCGAAGAGTTACAACCACACAGGGTGCAATGTTTTAACACCTTTTGAGACTAAGCGAACCTTTTGAGTCTAGAGAGCGAATCCATGTACAAGAGAAATTAGCGGGTAACTTCAAGCCTTCCTTCTGCGCTTCTTTTCTCCAGTAGAAGCGCCACCAGCGGATCCCTAACTTCAAGCCTTCCTTCTGCGCTTCTTTCCTCCAGTAGAAGCGCCACCAGCAGATCCCCCCTGCTCCACTTCAGCTGCTGCCTCGCCTTCTGCTTCCTTCTGCTTCTCTTTCTCAGCTGAGACATTGGCCTTAGATTCCTCACCAGCCACCGCAGCACCGGCAACCTTTGGCTTTCGACCTGGCTTGGCTCTTCCTTCACTTGGTTTGCTCTCACCCTTCAAATCCTTGCCTCCGCTGCTAGCCTCCTTTGGTTTACTGGCACTCTTGTTGCTACCATCCTCAGGCAAATCATCCTTTGTCTTCTCAGTTGACTTAGTGGCTTTGTCTTCGGATCCTTCTTCAGCTTCCTTCTTAAGGTCACTGCCAACCTTAGGTGTCTCATTTTCATCCTTCCTTGCAGCTTTCCCCTTTGATTTGCTTGAAGTTGCCGAGATGTTACTTTTGGGTGTACCATTGCTGGAACCTTTCGGACGACCCCTTTTTTTGGGAAGATCGCCTCCACCACTGCCATTAAACAGAAACATAAGTCTCAGAAAATATGTAGTCAATTGTCTACACTGCTTCTTTGATTACCAAATTACCTTTTAGGTGTTTCTGCATTTCCTTCCTTCAATTGCACTGAGCTCCCTCTTCCTTTTCTGCCCCTACCCCGTGGCTTCGGGGAACTTGAAACAACCAGTAACACAAATTTATCAAACAAAATACCACTTGATGCAAATAAGTATGACAAATTAGTCACAGGTTTCACAATTGGAATAACTAGGGATGTTTGTGGGAATCCCATTTACTTCACACCTGGACCAAACGGTGTTCAATTTAGTAATTTTTGAGTTAATTTGCATGGAAACGAATTAGGATGGACCCATGGGCTGGCACAACCCGACCCAGTCATCCCTAGAGAAAACTAGGAATTATTGGGTGTTTGTAAGGAATTTGCTGAATTCCCAACACAGTCAGGACAGCAGACATTTCTCTACAGTTCTTTTTACCATGGCCAAATTATGACAAAAAAAAACTTAGCCTATTCAGCAAGCCAACATAGCTTATAACAATAGGAGGTGCCAAGCATAATAGAACTCAAGAAACTGGAGAGAAATAAATCATTAAAAAATGCACTGGATGCTACGATTGAAAACCAGTGATTGAATCAATAAAAAACTTGAACTGTATAGCTACCATAAATGCAAAGTAAAAATGTGATTTTGAAGTTGCAGGTATGGAAGTGGTGTCAAGATAATTCACTTACATCTCGGAAGCCACATCAGGGGTTTTGTCTTGTTCCTGATATAACAACTGCTAATTAGTTTAAAAAAAAGGAAGAGGAGAAAGCAGAATCACAACATTAAATGCAATCTAAGCAGAATCACAACATTATGTGCATACCTCACTGACGAATTCCCACTTTTCATCCCTAAGGAGAAGCACCTCTACATCTCCATCATCATATGCAATCTAAGCTCCAAAAGTACAAAAAATCAACCATACAAGAAAAACAGAATAAAACCTTTTTTTACCAAGAGAATAAAACAATATTTTAATTGGCATAAGCTCTTCATGTAGGTCATATATCCCATGAAAGCAGATGATACAATGTACAGGGCTCATACCTTGTGCCTTTTTGAAGCTGTATCAAATGAGTCAACAATGCCCTTGTAAAACCTGCAAATATTTAAAACAAAGGACCTCAAAATTTTGAAACAGGATACAAAATAACCCAATAAATTGTACCAAAGCAAAGGACATGCCTCATCAATAATGAGCAAATATATTATTATTTGATTAAAACATCAAACAGGACTAACCTAAATACTAAGTCAATGTTAATATATATACACCATTTAGAAAAAGCTACACAGCAGATTTGGAATTAGAACAGCGGAAGAATAGAAAGGCATAAAGAAGTAAAAAAGATGAGCTAGCAAATATGCCGTGTGATGATAATGTCTATATATCTGGTTAGTTTATATACTCCAGTGTCAACATGAAACATGGCAACAATTGTAAAAGATTTAGCATAGAGACTAATGATCATATCACTTACTTCTTGTCGTCAGGCCACCATACTTGGATCCTTGCACCAACAAGGCTAGCATCAAGGCCTTTATTCTTCCTAGAACGAGGAGTCTGCAGAGGGCATATAAACTTAAGAATAAGACCAAAACATAGGAGATGTTAACAGGTGTCTTGAGAACCAAACATCTTCAAGCTCAACTATAATTACGCTTCTAAAACATTGTTATGCATTAAGTGATTTTATCCTAAATCACCTGAATAAACTGGGATCCCTATTGAAGCGTATTTTTTTATCCTAAATCAGCTATTGAAGGTTGTTACCTAGGGTGTGCCCAGAAAATATAATCAAATATTTTTTAACACAGATTTTTCTAACACAGAATTACCAGTTTTGAAGTTGAAGTTGTTGCAACAAACAAATATTATATTTGAGCTATTGCAACATCATTCTCTACAAGTCAGATTATTAAACAGAAATTTAGTAAGCACATTATCTTTTGGCACAAAAAGAAAGCAACATGCTAACTTAAATTACACCTTTATGAGTAAGCGATCAAATGAAATATGAGCAGAGAAAAGCACAGCAGACAGGCAACAGAACACAGAGAATCAACTAATCAAGAATGCATGCATAATCAAGTGCATACCTCTTGTTCATCCTCTTGTGACCTTTTCCTCTTGGAGCCATTATTGTCCTGGCCTTGGCTGCCCTTGGTCTTAGCTGACCCCTTGGACACGGACTTTGGAGAGACCATTTCCTTTATTGAGATAGAACAAACAGTACAACAACCAGTGTGCTAAAAAGCAACTGAATAGATGCTATTAAATTCTATCTGTTTTGAATTAACATCAAAGATAGGATCAAATCACAATTGAACCACACTAAATAACTCCTATATACTCAGTGTTATAGCAAAGTTTACAAGACAATAACAGGATTTGAATCACAAGCAACTGTATCAGTAAACAAAAGCTCGTAATACCTTGAAACAGTAAACACACTCAAAACATGTTTCAGATACACAAACATAGCATGCCAGAGAGAAATAGTATTAACAAAGACTGAATAATGCAGCAAATCAATGCTAAAGACAGGCAGCTTTACTAATTATACAAAAAAATTACTACTGACAAGAAAATTACCTTTAGGCTCAGATCCTTAGCAGTATCTTCCTTGGAGTCAGTTTCATCCTTCTGTTTCAAACTGATCTTTTGTTGCTTTTTTGATGACCCTGCTCCACTTGCCTTTCTTGTAGATGACTTGGAATCATCCTTAGATGACTGCTTCGATAACTTCCCTGTTGAATCAGTAGTCTCCTCAACCTTTTTCAGACCTAGAACTTTCTTTCCAGCAGCCTTCTTCTCCAATGACTTTAGTCCAGGAGGTCGACCTCTTTTTGATTTGACCATAGCTGGTGAGCCATCAACACGTTCTGATGTTTCAGCAGAAGCTCCATTGGCAACCTTTGCTGACTGCTTAACACCATCCTTTTTCTCTGAATCGGGATTGGATAATTCCTTGGGATTAGCAGCTGCAGATTCTGTGCCTTCAGTAACAAGATTCAACATATCAGCATCTTTTGTATTTACAGAACAGTAAGGTTGTTCAAGGCTTCAAGCTTATCCTTTGGAGGTGTCCTTACCATTATCAACTGGAGTTGCACCACTGCCAATAGCAGTAGTCTGAGTAACATCTTGCTCCAACTTTGCAGGTTCCTGAAAATAGAGATGGCACGGTGTATTATCAAAAGTTCATTTGTTTAGTTGATAAAAACAGAAATGCAGAGCAGCATACCTGAGGTAGCTCATCAGAAATAGTCCTTTCAGAAAGTTTGCCATCATCCACCTGAACATTATTAACTCAATAGTAAGAATAGATGAATCCACATCAAGAGCCCATGTGGCCAATTTGTTTTCCAGTTTCAACGATAAGGTGTTGAAATGAGCTGTATATTAAGTTCTGAGACTAATATTCACACCATCACAAAGTACACCCGTACACTCTATAGACTAAAGCCAATCACAATTTCATCTTCCAAGTGATCCATTCCAATATAATGCAGAGAGCATTAATGAATTCAAGGCGTATTTCAAACATACTAAAAAAATTATACACATAATGACCTATTCTAACACCTATGATTATCACATAGAAGTCTAAGGTAAAAAAGAAACATCTCTGAATATTAGTTGCTGCATGTTAGTAATTCAACTGACCACATCTTTTCCAGAAGGATCAGCATCCATGTCTTCCTTGACATCTGAACTGTCTTCACAAATTGTTGCGATAATATTGTCATATTCATTCAAGGAAGTGCCTTTAAGTAACTGCAGAAAGACCGGTTTCAGTTTTTCAGAGCATGCACCTATCACCTTCTCTGCAAGTTCAAAAGATGCAGCAGAAGTTTCCTGGAAATAAAAACCAAATCAATTAGATGGTATCTTTTTGTCTGGGTAGGAATGTAGATTCATATTGTTGATGTCAAGAAAGTTAAAAACATATATATGTACCTTCAGTTCGGACTTAGCATGCTTGAGCAGACATTCTGCAATGGGTATCTCAACTTCATCATCCTCTTCAATTACCAAAATCATTATTGTAGTCATACAGTTTGTAACATTTTCTGGGTGATTTGGTCTGAAATATGAGACAAGGGATTTCAAATTATGAGTGTACATACAAAGCATACAATGCAGACATTAAAGTATAATATCTAACAAAAATGTGTTAATTATCAACTGGCCAAAGTAGTAACACAAGCAAGTTATTTAGGTAAAAACAATGTAATCATGAAAGATCTTAATATTGGCGATTTAGCTCAGACTGATGACTTTAAATACAGAGTATATAAGAAGCCTATAAGAAAAACATTGAATAAGATCTGTGCAGAACAGAACAGCCAATTGTATAAAAAACTATCTGATATTCTTGTTCTTGAAGAACCGTTACAGGTAAGAACTATGTTAAGGAAATAAAATTGACTCATTTAGCATTCTTGGAGAACATAATTTAGCAAAACTTACTTCAAACTTATCATGAGAACTAGCAAATATAGATGAAATTAAGAACAAACGAAGAGGTACTTACTTCACAGTTGTGAAGAAGTTGTGAAACATTTGCAGTATCAGATCTTCACACTCAAGATCCAACATCACCACGCATAGCCGGACCTTTGCCACAGTTTCAAGGATTGCAACTATCCTTCGAAACAAGGGGTTCTCCATATCATCCAATTTCTCAAAAGACCCCACCATTATGGAAAACACGTCCTGAACCGAAAGTAGATAGCACAGGTCAGATGTCAGGATATAGGATATCAAAACAAGATCATCTTCATCCGATAAGAAAAAGGTATACCTTCATGACATCATCGTCATATGGAGTGTCAGGTGCAGTGATCCTAGTTATCTCAGAAATACAGGACACCACAGAAAGTTTCACCTCATAGCTAGAATTATCCAACAGCTCTTTCTTGATCAAAGCTTTCATTGCTGGAGTTATAGCACTAATCATGCTTTCAGAAGGTGCTTGTTCCACTTTCAATATATATATTTCGGCCTCCTGCATGAACAAACAATCATGCCAATCAAAGATCAGTTTTCTAGGGAACCAAGAAGATCATATATGCTCTTAATAAAACTGTAATGTTAAAGGAGTATGGTGCATTTACAGGAATCAACACCACGGCAAACTCCGTATATCAACAATCCAACTCCATATGTCAACAAACACGACGGAAAATACTCTAGAAAAACAAATGCTTGCTCTTTGTGCCATAACGGAAAATCAAACGGATTGCAGAGCAGCAGAAACCAAAATGAATCTAAAGCGGAATTCCAGTCCAGTAAAAATCACGACTCCCAACCGAATCAATCCTCGCGGAATGGTATCAAGCCAAAGCTTCCGAACCATCCCGAAATCAAACCAACCATCCCGAAACCACGCAATCAACAGGATTAATAAAAATAAATAAATCCAACAAACAGCAGAACCCTGACAGGAGAGGCAAAAAAAAAACGTTTCAAAGCGAACACAAACGAATTCCAGCACAGAGAGGGTTAGAGAGACTCACGTGGATGAGCTTGAGCAAGGCATCGACGTCGTCGGGGGGAGACTGGAGCTTCTCCCCGACGTCCCTCAGCTTCCCCTCGAGCTCCCCGAGCTCCGCCATTCCCGCGCGCGCGGCACCCCCCGCGCGTCCCCCCCCTGCCACCCCCTGGATCCGGCCGCCCCCGCCCCGCCCCGCCCCGCCGCGCGAGATCTACGGCTTGCTTGCTAGGGTTTCAGCGGGGAGGGAGGAGCAACGCCGCGCACCACCCCCTGCCCACGCGCGCGCGAGGCAGCGGCCGACGCCGACGACGGCAAACCAAGGTGACGGGAAGAGAGGAGAGGAGATGGATTTCTCTATAGCTATCTCTGCCTCTCTCTCTCTCTCTCTCCCCCACACCCACCGGTCCCCTTTTCCCCTCCCTCCCCCCGTGCGAGACGCGATTTCGGTGCGGTGCGGTGCGGCGCAACCCGGAGGTGGGTGGTGGAGATGTTTGGAATCGGGCGGGGCATTTTATGGGCGCGACCCGGGGAGGGGTTGGGGTTGGGCCTCGGCCGCCAAAAAACGAACGGGAGCGGACGCGTCCGGGGGTGAGGAGGGTTAGGGCGAAAATGTGCGCGGGTTTGTGCGTCCGAGGTGCGCCGCCAAGTTTTGGGGGTCTAGCGGACGGGAGTCCCCAGGCTTGTCTGAGGCGATCTCGGCCGTCGCTGGCTCGCGATGGAGCGGGGGGCAGGGTGGATGGATGGCTGGGGAACACTGCTGTTCCACGGCCGCCGAAAATGGCAGTCCGTAATCCTCGGCCCAGGTACATCCTCGGCCCTGTGACAATAGGAGGGAGAGAGAGAAAATAAAAAAATTGACTCACCGGAGTACGCGCGACACGGCAGCGGAGGCGTTAGAGACGGAGGCGAGTGGTGGCGGCGAGAGAATGAGGTGAGCGGGGGCAGCGTGACGAGGCGGTAGGGGTGCGCTATGAACGAGGGTGGAGTATCGTTGTTGTTGGTACCGGCATTGGTGGAGGGGTGCGGGGGCAGATAAGATGGGAGAGAGTGTAGCGGCGCGGACGGGTGCGTCTGAAGGTAGAAGACGACGTTCCGAGACGAAGGGTATATATAAAGGCGGGAGAGAATGGTGACCGTCGGATTAGTGTGATCTAACGATCATTGTTTGTAACTGTACGACGTATGAACCTGCCATAAATAATATGCTTATTTTGTCATGACGTATAGAGTTACGCTCGACATCAGCCCACCGAAGTAACTTTTTGTGAAGAATGTGGGACCTAGAAATATTCAAATGCTAGATTGGGCTTGGAAAAAAAGCTAGGCCCAAGTCTGATTCTCTTCCAGGACCGCATCTTTCACAATCACCAAGCCTAGGTCCCCATCGACATGCATCATTTGGTTTGCTCGTCTACACAATAGATTGGAGCGCGAAACTTTGAAGTATATATAGGTCATACTTGCACCATTCTTTGGTACACAACTTCATCATAAGGCCAAAACCATCTGTTGCTTGACTTACTCCCTATTGACCGATGATGCTCTCCCACCTCTTGGTCTGCCTCTTGTATCACCTCTTCCTTCATGTGGTTAGAACAATGTCCTACCTGACTCCTCTATTGGTTTACAACACCGCAAGACGATAGAACCCTTCTAACCTAGTATAAGGCCTCTACGTACGAACCAAAAGGTTTGTTCAAATTAAGAAACATTTATTGGTTCAATTGCTCGAGTATTTTTGCGCTCACATTCACGATTGCCATGCAAGCTCAACTTAAATTTGCGTTGTAGATACAAACATTGGGAGAAAGGCACTTTTTCGAAATGGTGCAACCTAATGTGCATTGCTAAATTTGCAATGGTGTACATATATCATTATATTTAATGAGCCCATGATAAATAATGCTTCTTTGGTTTATCAATGTTTGACTCTACATAATGGACGTGGATGTGGCACGCCGTCAAATATTGATGATTAGAGTCTAGATGTAGTATTCCTACTCTGTCGTGTTGTGTATCATAACACACTTGAAGTATAGGAATTGATATATGTGTGTTTTAAATTGCAAGGTTTCTTATATTCCATCCATTCCTAAATAGTATACAAACTTCTAGCATTTGAATCTTATTTCAAAATATAAGATTTTATAGCACAGTTCACTGTACTATTTATCTCATCAATCACCTCCTATTCAAATTTTATTCCCATTTTATCCCCTACCTACCCTCTCGCCTCCACTCATCTCATATTTATTGAGGACACTAAAGTATTTTCCTCTTAACACAGGGATGGACCAAAAATGGACCAAGGTCTAGGCCATCCCATCAAAGCTTTGGCCCAATCCATACTATTTATCTCATCAACCACCTCCATTTAAAATTCATTCCCATTTTATCCCTTACCTACCCTCTCAGCTCCACTAATTACATATTTATTGAGGGCACTAAAGTCTTTTCCTCTCAACGCAGGGGTGGACCAAGAAATGGGCCAAGGTGTGGGTCGTCTCATTAAAGCTTTGGCCCAATTCACTTACTATTTATCTCATCAATCACTTCCTATTCAAATTTATTCCTATTTTATCCCCTACCTACTCTCTCACCTCCACTCATCACATATTTATCGAGGGCACTAAAGTCTTTTCCTCTCAACACAAGGGTGGATCAAGAAATAGGCCAAGGTCTGGGCCATCCCATCAAAGCTTTGGCCCAAACCACTGACTATTTATCTCATCAATCACCTCAATTTAAAATTTATTCCCATGTTATCCCCCTACCTACCCTCCCACCTCCACCCATCATATATTTATTGAGGGCACTAAAGTCTTTTCCTCCCAGCACAATAGTGGACCCATAAATGGGCCAAGGTATGGGTTGTCCCATTAAAGCTTTGGCCCAATTCACTTACTATTTATCTCATCAATCACCTCCTATTCAAATTTATTCCTATTTTGTCCCCTACCTACCCTCTCACCTCCACTCACCACATATTTATTGAGGGCACTGAAGTCTTTTCTTCTCAGCAGAGGAGTGGACCAAGAAATGGGCCAAGGTTTGGGCCATCCCATCAAAGCTTTAGCCCAATCCATTGTATTGTTTGTCAGGGTTATAGATAAGACATACCTCTTATCCTTAGGGTTGTGAAATATACGAATACGATATACCCTCATGTGTATGGGAAGATACCTCCGAAATGAGGAAATCGGATGATCTATAAGGAAATCATCCTCTTCGAATAGAAGGTGTTAGAGTCCTTTTCGGAGGATATAAGGATTTTTGTGATATCGTGTAAGGGCAGGTGTCTCTGAGTTCTACTTTGAGGTCAAGATAATCGACAGTATAAATAGAGGACCCCCGGAGGGGGGGGGTAAGGCATCGAATCTTAGGGCAAGACACCCGCCATAGCAGAAGCAATCTGGAGGACTCGAATCCAACTCGTCGATAGGTCTCGTTGAGCCGTTCTTGACGAGGATCTCGTCGGTAATCTCGTGATTCCGTTGTTCTCTATTGTACTATTTGTGGTTTTCTTCATAATCTCATATAAACTGGATTAGGGCTATTACCTCACAAGAGGCCTAAACCAGTATAATCTTTGTTTTCTATGTGCTTGATGTCGTATCTTGTAGATCTTCATATCAACGTACCCCCAATACCCTTAGAATACGGTCCGCGGGTATCACCCGTCGACACTATTTATCTCATCAATCACCCCTATTCAAATTTATTCCTATATTATCCCCTACCTACCCTCTCACATCCACTCATCACATATTTATTGAGGGCACAAAAGTCTTTTCCTCTCAACAGAGGAGTAGACTAAGAAATGGGCCAAGGTCGGTGCCATCCCATTAAAGCTTTAGCCCAATTCATTGTACTATTTACCTCATCAATCATCTCCATTTAAAATTTATTCCTATTTTATCCCCTACCTACCTTCCCACCTCCACCCATCACATATTTATTGAGGGCACTAAAGTCTTTTCCTCTCAACACAGGGGTGGACCAGAAATGGGCCAAGGTATGGGCAGTCCCATTAAAGCTTTGGCCCAATTCACTTACTATTTATCTCATCAATCACCTCCTATTCAAATTTATTCCTATTTTGTCTCCTACCTACCCTCTCACCTCCACCATCACATATTTATTGAGGGCACTAAAGTCTTTTCCTCTCAACAAGAGGGGACCCGTAAATGGACCAAAGCCCGGGCCACCCCATTAAAGTTTTGGCCCAACAAAGTATTATATGGTGGAATTTGAAAGTGTTCTATGGACCTTTCATCCTGGGCCTCGGGCTGTGGCATATGTGACACATGATGTATGTTTGCCCCTATCTTAATATTAACCTCTGCTTAATAACCTAGAAATCTTTTTATTTTGAAACGGAGCAGCATGCTCTATCTCTCTAGCAACTTACACTAATCTCAATGCAAAGCACAATCCCAAATTATTGATAAATCTCTAACCGGAGGCCGAAGGCTTTCTCTTCCAGATAGGAATTATGTTTTTCAGTACTGTGTGAAATTGGGATTCGGATGCTTCGAAGAGAACGTAGTACTGGCCTAGCTCGACATGATTGATGGGCATGATGATTGGTTAGGGTCATTCAAGGCTTTCATCGACAAATCATGCATGACACATCAATCCATCTTGTCTGGATTGTTCATTAAGGGCTGGTTTGGTTTGAGGCCTAAATTAAGCTTACCAATATTTATCAATTTCAATAGTGTTTAGTATCTATTTGGTTTGAAGCCAAATTTTGACATGCCTAAGAAAATAGGCCATTTCAATAGTGAATTTAGACTATTTTGGCTTCAATCCAAACACAACTTTACCTTACCAAAATTATTCATGCCAAAACTTGCTAAAATTTGGCACCAACAAAATTTGGTAAGGCCTATTTAGGTCACAAAACAAACCAACCCTAATATTCCCACACCTTGTTTAGTTCCAAAATAATTCTTCAAACTTTCAACTTTTCCATTACATCAAAATTTTCCTATACACATAAACTTTCAACTTTTCTGTCACATCATTCTAATTTTAACCAACTTCTAATTTTAATATGAACTAAACATAGCCTTCATCGACAAATATTTGCTGCTCCTACTGCAATTGGAGACGAGACACCGTGCCTTCTCGACCAATGTGCTTGAAGTTGGAGTCAAAAGTTCACTTTTTAGGCCGAGTTTAGTTACAAATTTTTTCTTCAAACTTCCAACTTTTCCATCACATTAAAACTTTCCTACACACACAAACTTTCAACTTTTTCCGTCACATCGTTCCAATTTTAACCAAACTTCTAATTTTAGCGTGAACGGATGAGAGCCCGTAGTTTCCCACTCGATCGGAAGTTCAATCTCGCTGCGTGTCTCCAAAGTTTGTTGGAACGTTTAAATCGGATTTCCTCTATCCGAAAGATTACAACTTCTGACAGGGAAAATCTACAGCTTTTTTTCGAATTAACTGAAAATCCCCACCTTGAAAGTTCGTTTTGCTCATGTGAAGTAACAAGCGCATAGCAGTAAAATACGCCAAACAAAAATCTAAAAATAGATGATGGCCGAGTTAGTGATCTCTAAATATTTCAAGAATCCCCAAACAAAAGCTTCGAAAACTCAAAAAAGAACAAATAAAATTGGAGCAAACAGAACTCTCTCTCAGTCTCACTGAACTACTGAAGAACGAGTAATACTGCATGATCTGAAAAGCCGGCATACTGACAAAGTTCAACCTATCTAATTATTATTTATTCATCATTGATCAGTACACATTTTACCAATTAAACCATGAACTAAAATTAAGCACGTGTAAGAGTTCATTTCCATTAATTCCTGTAAAGCACAGCATTACAAACACACAATCACCTCAAGAACACACTCACACCAAAAGTCCATTTTATTCTCCACTGCTACTGAAGGCAAATTCATACTATAGCTATACATCGTCGTCCTCTGATCCATCCATCGGCCGCTGAGAATTTCTCGATCATTTGCCGAAGAGCGACTTGAACCACCACGTCCCCTTGGTGTCGGTGGGCGCGGCGTCGCTCTCCGGCGGCGGGTCGTCCTGCGGCGTCTTGCGCAGCTTCTCGACGTCGTACCCTTCCTCCTTGGCCTTCTCCAGCAGCCGCCCGTACACCTCGTCGTCCATGCTCGTCTGCCGGCACAGGATCCACAGGTCCTTGCGCCGCGGCTCGCCGACGAGCGCGTACTGGTAGTCGTCGTCGACGTAGAGCACCCAGTAGTCGCCGACGACGGGGATGACGGGGAGGAAGGGGGGCAGGTAGAACTTGACCTTGAGCTTGGCCTCGTCGCTGGCCGGGTCGGCCTTGTAGGCGGTGCCCTTGATGTAGTCGCGCTTCCCGCTGCTGGTCCACGTCTCGTTCAGCACGTCCACCGTCGCGCCGTCGGGCCGCAGCGCGTACGTCGCCCGCGTGTCCCGGCCGTCCCGGGGCTGGAAGAAGTTGGGCAGCGACGCGATCTCGTACCACCGGCCCATGTACCTCGCCACGTCCAGCCCCCGCACCACCGTCATCTCGCTCCCGCTCTTCTTCTCCACCGCCGCCGCCGCCATCGTCGTCGTGGTGATTGTGTTGCTGTGACGATCGATCTAGCTGCGAACTACTGATGTTATCTGTTTGATATGAATTGCCAACTTGAGCTGAGTTGAGCTAATTGCAAGGATGAGTGTGGCTATATAGGAGAGGGTTTTGGCCTCTTGGGGGGGTTGGGTTTGGAGAAGAACTGAAGAAGCTAGAGAGGTTAGTATAGAGGATAAGATTACTACGTGGAGGGCTCTGGAGCGCTTAAAAACGAGCGCTTTGGTTTGGTTGCTTGCTCCTTGGGGCCGGCCTTGTGCTATACGTGGAGACTTGCACGTGAAGCTAACTTGCATGGACGTACTCCGTACATCTCTTTTACTGTGTGCTTTTGGCGGTTTTCTGGCCGTTTTCGTCGGTAACTTGGGACTGGGGTTCAACCTGAAAATCTGAACGGCGAGTATCACTGCAGGATTCAGAGAAGACAGTGATCTGGTTTCACACATTCCCACTAGGCGCTTTCCCTGCTACGAGTACGAGTACAAACCACCGGAATGCTCGAGAGCAGTCCAGAACGACCCCTATGGTGATGGACTGATGTGTGCTCGGCAGATAGCTTTGGCCGAGTCTGGCCTTATTTAGTTCTAAACTTTTTCTTTAAATTTTTAATTTTTTTTATCACATCAAAACTTTTCTACACATATAAACTTTTAACTTTTTTATCACATCGTTTTTAATTTCAATCAAACTTTTAATTTTAGTGTGAACTAAACACACCCTCGGTGTGATAAGCATGTTTTCCTTGCTCCCCAAGGTTAAAACTCTTTCTAGCACAAAAGAGGTAGTAGAAGGGTACAGTCTACGGCATGGTAGATTGCCAGTGTGAAGCACCGATCGTAATCGAGGCTTGGAGCTTTGTCCGTGTCGCTGTCCACCAAGGTAAGAAGGTAAGGGTCTTATTGCTTGCGCTATCACTTATACCAGTTTGTTGCCAAAATTTAAATTTTGAAACTTTTGATTTAGATGCCTTTTCAACATAAATTCCTTCAATATTGGTTTTTAAATTATTAAGAACACATATTTAAAAGTTTTATTCATATTTTTTTATTACTAGTTAATAAGCCGTTATGGCTTATATAAAGTGGTAAGCAACCAATGAGGACCTAAATCCTATTGCATCGGATATCCGGAAACATGAACGTCCTTTTCGTTGATTTTATAGCTTGCTTACGTGTTTCCATGGGGTTCCAATCCTTGGATGGTTTCATGGCTTGGTTACGTGTTTCCATGGGGTAGTTGTTGACGAAAAAAATCGAACACATCGGCCTGAGAGATCTGCTTAGCTCCAGTGCAGGTCCAAATCTTGATGAAGTGCGGGCGTGCCAGTCAGTTTGATCCTGCAACTGACAAGATATGCAAATAGTAGATCAAAACAGCCGATCGGCTGACAAGCCGATGGAGTAGTTCTAGCCGATAATAGCCGATGTTGATACCAGCCGATAGCGATAGGGTTTAAGCAATCGGCTATATGTCCAAAGTAGATAATGATATAAAGGCAATCAGCTGATGATGATGTAATAAAATAACAACATAAACCAATCGGCAAATAATGATATGATAAATAAGCATCGATCCGAAGGTTAAAGCACACATCGGCTGGAGGTCCGATGTCATGAAATCCACAAGATTAGATTAAACAGTGAAACCTTTGTTGTCATCGGCTAAATCCAACTTATATGTATATGCAATCCTTATGAGCCGATGCAACGTTCAGATAACTCACCGACTGAAACCCCGATGAAACCCTGATTGGCAATCAAGAAGCAGGCTAGAGATTATGGTTCTAAGCACGACTTAGTAGATCAAACTTAACTGATGCAGCACTAAGTATGAAAAGAAACATAATATCTAGACAATCAAGCCGTTGACTGATTTTTCAGGGTGGTAGATGCCTAAGCTAATCTAATCTAGCAACACAATTTAGCCAATACCGGCAGAAACCCTAAAATGAGAAGCAGCCGATAGAGCTAAATTGATATGCTAAGACTAGATTAACAGAGACATATGATAAATAGGTAGGCAAATATACCATCCAAATCAGAGCAATCCAAGAGGTCGAATGTACTGATGCAGCCTTGAACGACGCCGACGTAGACGATACAATTGCCTGGGCCGACGAAACATTGGACTTACCCCTTAGCCAGAGATCAAACACCGATGCAGCCCCGCGTCAGGTGCCAAGTCCCGCCGGACGATAAAATAAAGTAGAAAAGGTAAAAGGTGGCGATGCGCCGAATTGTATTGATTGTAGCGATAGATTACATAGACCCTGGGTGTACATATTTATACCCATGGGTTGATACAAGTCCTTGTCGGACAAGAAAGAAACTTTCCTAAAGATAAAAGGAAAAGATAAAGTCCTTATAGGACACTAAACACACTTTCCTAAAGATAAAAGGAAACTAACAAACTATTCCTAATTAATAGATAACTTGCCATGCCGCATTCTCTTCGAACTCAGTCTCTTCTGGATAAGCTTTCTTTGGTAGATTAGTTTCCTTAACCGAATATAGCAAGAATCCGACAACTGACGACTTGACAACTCTCATCGGCTAATCTCAGGACTTCGAAGCCGATGCTGACTCTAAACCAATGACTACTCCGGGCTTACCAAATTTCACTGTTAACAGTAGTAGATACGAAAGAATCCAGAAAGTCATCAGAGTAAGCAACACCTCCGTTTTAGATTTTAGAACCGCAATCCCCTTCATTTCCCACAATCATGTTTGTGTACATGACACATGAATTGCACAACAATTAATTCAACAATTTAGAATCGCAATTCCTACACCTCTCTTTCAACAGTTTAGCACCACAATTGAATGTTCAGTCATTGATACTTTCTTCGGGCAACAGTGAATGCCTTCTTTCCTGCACCCTTCTTTGACCCCACTAGGAGCTTAGGATGACCTTCAAAACATTGAGCCTCGCAATCTTGGACAGTGGCCTGCATGGGCACATTAGCAATGCAGTCATAACCAACATTTAGCAATCTACTATATGCAAGAAAAGCTTTTAATGATTTGAACCTCGATGAAAGTTGTGTTAACAAGGTACATTTTGTGGTATAGTCAATCAAGCATATGCAAATATTTAGATAAGTTTGGAATCGAACACCCTATGACCAAATGAAAATACTAATTTTGAAGCATTTTTTATATGATAGGAAATGGTATTAAGCATAGTGCACTAGCTTTCTTTTACCTGCACTGCCCGATGATCACATGATCTCGTTCCCTCACACGAAAGCATGGGGAAATTAATGTTCGCATTGATATTAGGGTGTCTCTTCTCATACCTATCGATGGAAATGGAAATCATTTTTACAACATCATATTATGTGACTACGTACCCAAGTGAAAAAAATAATAATTAAAAACAATGTAGACTTGCTTGCCTCTAATACTTCTTGACAAAGTGAAGATAGTTCCTACTTCCTACAATGATGATAGTCCTGTTCATTTTAGCATTGTGTCGTGTTCTAGCTTGCAATAATGCAACTACTAATTGTTAAGGTACCGGTGAATGGGCATTTCTTATCAATGTAGGTTCTTAGAACAAGCACCAAATTAAGGACATGTAAAACTTAATTAAGTTCAATATAAATTTCTACTCCAATACTCACTCTATCCTAAAATATAACAACTTTTAGCTATGATTCTAGACGAACACTAGTTCAGATTCATAACTAGAATTTTTCATATTATAGGACGAAGGCAGTACATTATATAGGTAAAACACATCAAGAAAATTACTAGCAAAACAAGGAAAATAGACAAAATAATTACTATAACAACAACACAAAAATGAATGAAATCAAATGAGCTTTTAGCTAGATTTGTCAACGATGAAAATAATAGTCACAATTTACAAATGTTGAATGCAAAAATAAAATCTTCAAAGTTAATATCTATGTTTAGAAGAACAACGAGAGCATACATTTAGATGAAACTTTGAGAAAGAAACACGAGCACAAATAGTCCTGAGAACAAACTAGAAAGCTATGTTGCACACAATTATTGGGAGTCTAGGAGGCAACACCACATCAATGGCGTGACAACTAAACAAAAGTTTATATAAAAAAAATAACAAGCAGTGAAGAAGGATAGCGCAACTTCAAATGAGAGGCCACACCAATGGACAGTTAAGAGGCATTAATTCAAACTCAAAATGAATACTCCATCCATTCCATTATACAAGGCATAACTGTTTTTTTTTTCAAAAGTTCTATAATATAGGGCGGCAGATGCAGCAGCACCACTCCGTTAGTCTCGTCCACGCACATGCATGCATTGAAGGCAGTTGCATCGGCATCTCTTTGAATCCCGTAATTCTCATCCGCGCATGCATGCAGTAAACACTATTCGTTAGTTTGCTTTGGTTGTTTTAAAGACCCCTAATTCTGCGGTAATTATAGGAGCTTCCTTGGTTTTTGCATCCAAAGAAGTTACGCCTTGTATAGTCAAATGGAGAGAGTACTAGAACTTCAGATATAGGGTATTAGATATCCTAGGAAGAACTATAGCATATTTTAGTTCATCAAAGAAAAAAAACTCTCAAGTGAGCATCCCCTGCAACACTAAGTCACTAGCCACTTGATATAGATCACACTTACAACCAACAAAATAACAACATCAAATTTGTTGAAGTCACATACCCTATATGATGTCTAAGAGGACCACAATTGAAAAGGTATCAAGCCAAAATAACTTATAAAATACAAGAAGCGAAGTACTCCCTCCTTCCACAAAAAGTTACACTTATTACTTTATCACCAATACTAAGGAGAAATTAAATCATCTTGCATATATGTAACAAAGATCAAGGAGTATATGCACACATGCAACCAATCAGTATTAAGATGACTCCTCAAGTTTAGTTCAAACATTTAATTTATCTCGCCATTTAAGTTTTGGATGCATAGAGACTGCAAATACGAACAACTTATTTGGAAAAACTAAAATATGAAATATGTCTAAATCTTACATGTAGAGAGAGTACTAAAGAAATTGAAGAGGCTATCAAGCTCTTGTGGATAGAAGGAGTATTGAAGAAACCGAAGATTTTATAAAAAATGCATTGTTTTCCGGTTTGAAAAGTACACATAAGATATATAATAAAAAACAAAGGGGACCTCAATAGAAATAATCGAGGAGTTCTTGTTATTATGGTATAGTACTTCTAACATGGCATATAAACCCATACATTCAAGGCAAAATTATAGTAGACTTTTAGGCTTTAGCAAAAACAAGGAAAATAATCCCAGTGCCCTTATCCAGGACGTTTGTATTTCCAGTTCTCCACGCTCCAAATGAAAAAGGAACAATTTGTCTTTTGCGTGTATGGTTCCCACTTTCCCAGGTCCACTACAAAACCGGGGCAAGTCCGCGTCTCACGACCAATGGAAACGCCCATTAATGGCAAGCTTAGCCCCCCGCGCTAATCGCCTCCTCCTACTAATTCCTTGCGTCTCGCTTCGGCCACCGCCCACCACCACCTCCTCTCGCCTCTCGCCCCCGCATCGCCGCTTCCTCCCTCCCCCACCTCACGAGACCGTTTTTTTTCTTTTTTTTTTGTGTTACCGCCATGGCCGCCGCGTTGACCCGCTCGTCGTCCGTCCGTTCCGCCATCCGACGGCTCGGATCCTCCCGCGCCTTCTCCGCATCCGCCGCGGCGGCCCCGCGCCGCGACGCGAGGGGGGCGGCGGCCGCGGCGGTGGCGGTGGCTGCCGGGTCGGGGCTGGGGATCTGGCTGCTGCCGCCGTCGCCGCGGCCGCTGGCGGACTCCGGGCAGGCGGGGAATGAGGTGGCGGCGTTCGGCGACGTCGCGGAGGAGGAGGAGCGGGAGGAGAAGCGCAGGTTCCTGTTCGGAGGTGAGGGCATTTGATTTTTGTTTTTTTTATTGTTCATGCGTGTTGTTTTGGGTTGTAATGCGGGCGATTTTTGGCGCGTTTATGGCGGGGGAGAGCGACTGGGTTTCATTCCCATTGTTTTCGTCGATACTAATTTTGCGTGAAAAGCGAATTTGTCCAGTAGTATTTTGCTACTCGGTTATTCGCCTCTGAAAAATTTTAAATCCGCTATTTTACAAACGGCACGATGATTTTCGTCGCAATGTTTCCTCGAATGTAGACTCGTATCGCAGAAGGGTGTTCTTCAACTACGAGAAGAGGATTCGGACGCGCAGCCCTCCTGAAAAGGTAGCGACCAATGTGCCATATTCAGAGCAATTTTGTGTATACACAACATGACATGATAATTCTTCTTGGTTTGTGTAGTAATAATTGTGTGGTGTTTTTACTGCAAGATCTTTGAATATTTCGCGTCCATCCGGAACCCAGAGGGTGAAGTTTACATGTTACCCGCCGATTTGATGAGGGCGGTTGTCCCCGTTTTTCCTCCATCTGAATCGAAAATTGTCAGGGAAGGGAGTCTCAGGGGAGAGCGCAACCCTGGCGAGCTACACTGTGCCCCGTCTGAATTTTTCATGCTGTTTGACACGAACGGAGATGGGCTCATCTCCTTTGCCGAGTAAGTAGCGACTCACTGATTTGTGTCCTTAGGCGTGGTATCTAATTTCAGAACCAGACAGAATTGTTTGCACCCGGCACAATTATTGTCATGTAGTGATTTACAGAAAATGCACCAGGTTCTATTGGCAAGTAGAACAGTCTGTTTGCTAGCCATATTGGGTTTGAATCCTCCCTTAAACACATTGTGTGGACCATACATTAAGTTGCCATAAGCATAACGTCATTGCAACTAATAATCACCAATGCTTAGATATGAACATTTTGGTTAATGAGTGCCACTGGTATGGTATGACATTAACTTTATATGCTGCTCTATTGTTTTATTGAATGAAGGCAGAAGTAACTTGATGAATTTGCTGAAACTGCTTGCCATGACAGGTACATCTTTTTTGTGACATTGCTTAGCATTCCTGAATCAAGTTTCAACATAGCTTTCAAGATGTTTGACCTTGACCACAGTGGGTAAGCTATCCTCCAGCTCCTCGACCTGGTTGTAAACTTATAACCAAATACTGTGCTCTTCAGATCTATATGCATCTATTCCTTAATTGTACAAGCACCTTAACCATTTTCATTAAAAAATGTATTTCACTTACAAATTTTAGTTTGAAGTGTACTTCATTAATTTATACTAACTGATGTTTCTTTAATTATGATGGCTGCATGTATATTCTATGATAGCATCCCTACATTCTCTTCTCTTGAATGGACTTGATCATACCGTGTATAGAGCTTACAGATTACCAGTATGCTACTATGCTCCATTGCCAAACCCCCATTCATGATAGAAGGACCTTACAGTCTTACACACGAGACCTAAGGAATAGTCCACCCATACACTAACTATATATGTGCAGCATCATTCTGGTATAATCAGTTTTCCCCTATAGCCTATGCCAAACCTCAACTCTAGGAGTCCTGCAAACAAATTAATGTCATTGGTCACTGGCGAATGTATATCAAATTCTCAGTTAATTACTATCAACATTGCATGCTTGCAAGGTTGCCGGGAGCTAAATAAGAAAGATTTGACAGCCCTAATCTATTCACTTATGCATTTTTCATCTAATTTCTGAACTTTATTATTTGCTGAAGCCTTTAAAGGTACTATAAGTATACTATCCCCTTTTCCCTAGGATTTACACAAGGATAAATTGAATATATTGTTGTTTACATGTGACAATTCATGTGCAGTTAAATTTGTGGTCCAGAAAAGACCTGCTTTTATGAGCATGTTCAATCATCTCACTTGTTAGTTGATGGTAAAGAAGGGTATGGACAATTTGGCAATTTTTTTTAATGCTATTTCTTTACTCTAATCTGGCATTTGAATTTCGCAGGGAAATAGACAAAGAAGAGTTTAAGAAAGTAATGGCACTGATGCGGTCCTATCATAGGCAAGGAGCTGCCCATAGGGATGGTTTACGTTTTGGTCTTAAGGTTGGTCAGTCAGTGGAAAATGGTGGACTGGTTGAGTACTTCTTCGGCAAGGATGGCAATGAACAGTTACGCTATGATAAGTTCTCCAATTTTTTGAAGCAATTGCATGATGAGGTGATTTTTTTAAAAAAAATTCATCCTTTGTTCCAATAACATAATTATGGTTCCGAACTATCTTATTCTGAATGCAACACATGAGAGACTTGAACTGAAAGCTAAATATTTTTTTTGTACTTTCATCCTTTGTTTCATTAACATCATTATGGTTCCGAATGATCTTATTGTGGATGCAGCATTTCAGAGACTTGAACTAAAAGCTACTTCCTTTCCCAAAATAAGGGATTTTGGGTGGATGTGACACATTGTCTGTCTAGATTCATAGCACTTCGATGTGTCATATGCACCCAAAATCCCTTATATTTTGGGACGGAGGGAGTAAATAATTTTTCCAGACTATCTAATCACATAAGGAAGTAAAGGAGGGTAGGAAATAACACCTCGACAACCCACATGTCACATCCCTAATATAATTATACAAGCACAACATTTGCTGAATTTCCTTGTTTTTATATTTTGTGATGTGTTGCCACTGAAGAACAACACTATGCAAAGGTCAAAGTCCAATGCCTGTACATTCATTGATTTGTTTTGTCCTAGTGTAATTGGAGAACTGTCATTGTGTTCTTGCTCTAAAGCAGCATTTCAGAATCCATCGAAAACCAAAAGTGGGATCAACAAAGAAACATAAAGTTGAGATTATAAACCCCAGAACTACTATACCACACCCAATGTGTTGTACATTTTATAGAATGCCCCAGTACAACATAGGGGTAAAAAATTTACTTGCTGTGTATTTGTGTAGCGGGTATACGCGTGATTAATCTGTTATTGCCTCTGGTCCGGTTTGTCATCATTGTATATACTTGATATCTCATAATTTTTCATTCAATTATCTGCAGATTGTTCGCTTGGAATTCAGTCACTATGATGTCAAATCATCCAAGACAATATCTGTGAAGGACTTTGCATTATCCATGGTTGCTTCTGCAGATATGAATCACATAAACAAGCTACTTGACAGAGTTGATGATTTTGATGATTATCCTGATCTCAAGGATTTGCGCATTACCTTTGAGGTTTGAAAGTTTGCTATCCAGATATTCCAATTGTAGTACTTGGGTTTAATGTCTCTCTTTATCATCATAATTATTACCTGAACTTCAGGAGTTCAAGGCTTTTGCTGATCTGCGGCGAAAATTAGAACCATTTGCAATGGCAATCTTCAGCTATGGCAAAGTAAACGGTTTGCTGACCAAGCAGGATCTAAAACGTGCAGCAACTCATGTAAGATTCTTCATAATTCCGTTTATTTCCTTTTGACATAAGATGTAGTCTGAATCAGCTAATGTTAATGTAAGTCTTAAGCTATTTTGGACTATCACTGGCTTGTTTCATATTTCCAGCCCTGTGCTAACTGAACAGCTAGGTCCTAGGTCTTGGGAGTAGGACCTTCCCAAGACACCCACATAATTGGCTGCATTTTCTGATTGACTTTACAACATTTTTTATAGGTTTGTGAAGTGGACTTGACTGATAAAGTGGTGGACGTCATTTTCCTTGTGTTCGATGCAAACCGGGATGGGAGCCTTAGCGCAGATGAGTTCTTGAGGGCATTGCAAAGACGAGAAAGTGATATTCGCCAGCCAGCTTCTTCAGGTTTAATGGGAGTATTTACCTGTTTGTTGAACTGTACAAAGTGTTCTCTTCAGCAGACTGTGATCTAGTAAGCCTCTTGATAACCCCCAAAGTCGTCCTCTGTTGCCCTTGGTTACGACACTCCTTTTGATTTCATATGCTATACTTGCTAAATATAAAATTTCAGCAGCATAATTCAGCTTGCATAAGGTTCGAGTTTGTGATGTTTCTTTGCCATGCGCAGGTGCTGGGGAGCGAAAACGACCACCCACTGGAGTTCTGCAAACACGATTTTGCTGTAAATAGTCTTGCTTATCAAAGTTACCGAAACATGTAGCAGCTGCAAATAACATGTTTCGCACTAAGCCCAAGGCTTCGCTGACAGAACTCTACTCCACTAATGTAAAATGAACCTATGACATGGAACCTCGTTAACTGTCTACGCCTTGATTCAGTTACTATATCCTTACATGTCTACGTTTGGATATCAATCTTGTTGGTAATGACTAAATATGCAAAAATGAATCGGTGATAATTGTGATCTCTATTTGGTAGAGAAGCTTTCGGTATGGGCTACACGACTTGCAACAATATACATGATGTTGAGATTAAGGGGCCTAGGTTGTTACTACCACATTTTGTGCCTACCGAGTAGTGACTAGTGAGTACTAAAGGTCTATTGGGAAAATATAAAGTGTGGACATATGTTGATATATTTGGTTTTTGCCTTTTTGCAAGACGTTCCTCCCAAGTAATTGTCCCTTTACCAACGAGGGGACCTCGATATCCCCTCGAGGGATGAAAATAGCTTCCCCTTTACCAAGGGGGGGCAACGAGCATGCTGAAAAACACTTTACTATCTATTTTTGAACATACCGAAAATTAAAAATTAATGATGATATCGTCGAGGAAAAACATATTACACACATGTTACACGCAGATAAATAATCGACAGCATCGACTGATCATCAGTAGGGGAGCCTGACGTTGAGCCGCCTGAGCCAGATGGAGTGGAGCACCATGTGGATCATGTCGAACCGGCGCGCCGGGCGGTGGAGCACGAAGTGGCGCTGCGCCTGCAGCACCCGGGCGCGCAGCACCCGGTACCTCCGCTCCGACACCCGCCGCAGGATGGCCCTCAGCTCCGGTATCCTCGCCGCCGGCACGGCCACCGACATCTTGCCCCAGTCCAGCACGTCGCCGAACGGCGGCGGGTAGCCCTCCGAGATGATCACCGGCACGCACCCGGCGAACACGGACTCCACCACCCTCGGGCTGGCCACCTCGAAGCCGCTCGGGCACAGGCAGAACCGCGCGGCGGCCATCTGCGCGTGGTAGTCCTCGCCGGCGGGGAGGTACTCGTGGACGCGCATGTCCCCGTCGCCGTCGCCGTCGGCGGCGGCGCCGCCCTTGTTCCCGATCAGCCAGTGCCGTAGGAGCGATTCGCGGATGTGGCCGTGCCTGCCGCCGGCGAAGAAGGCGAGCGTGGTGCGGTTCTCCGGCGGTAGCCCCGCGGTCGGGCGCCGGAGGACGCCGTCGGCGAGGTTTACCTCCGGCAGCGTCGCGTCCTTCCGCGGCCTGAACCCCTCCGACGTGTTGGCGTTGCACAGCACCCGGATCGCGTTGCCGTACAGCTGCCGGTGCGCGCTGGTCACCATCGGCGCCTGCGCATCACCGGCCAACTTAGTTTCAGTGATATGATCGAGACACAAATTAATTAATTCTTGCAGGAACAAACTTAGAGTGCTTAAATGTTGTCTAAATAATCATAATTTTTTTAAAAAAATATTAAAAATATAGATTAATGTGAATATATCACTTTACAAACCTACAAGTTCAAAAATTCGAATTCGTTTTCTATAAGTTCTAACAAAAATAACCGTTTGAATTCGATTTCTATAAGTTCTAACAAAAATAACAAATATAACTGAGAATATATGTTAACATGTTCAATTTAATTTGTTGTTTTTATTATAACTTGTAGAATCGAAATTAACTTTGTATATTTGCAGTGTGATATATCTCATATTATCTATCTTATTATTTTTTTATATTTTTATAATTATTTAGGTGGTAATGTAAGAATCAAAGGATATCGAGGGATGAATTAAAAATCCATCTCCAAGTGGTCCATACGTACGTACCCAGTCGTGGCAGGAGACGATGACGTGGTCGGCGCCGCGGGAGCGGTTCCAGTAGGGGTAGCGCTCGGCGACGACGCGGACGTAGTCGGCGACGAGGCCACGCAGCGGCGCGAGGTCGCCGGTGGCGTTGAGGCGGTAGACGTAGTGGACGAGGTTGCAGACGCTGATGGGGAGGAGGAAGGCGTGGGCGTCGTCGGGGCGCCGCGCGGCGAAGCGGCTCCGCGGGTCGTCCATCTCGTACATGAACTGCCCCTCGATGGAGTAGATGTCGGTGCCCGGCCCGATGTGCGCCACCGGCGGCTCCCCTTCCCTGTACGTCCAGATCTTGAACCTCCTCTCCATCTCCACGTAGCTCCTAATCGCAAATGCACATCGGTTTTTGCAACAACGGTAGAGGAGTGGATCGATGGATCGACGGTGTACGTACGTACCTGTGGAATGCACGCGCGTTGCGGTAGATGGCGCCGCGCGGCACGTAGTCGTCGTCGCCCGCCGCGGCGACGACCGTGGAGGCTGAGCCGCGGCGGCGGATGCTCTCGTCGGACGGCGGCGTCGCGCGAGCCGCCCGGCGGATGGCCGCCCGGGACCGAGCTAAGCCGGCCTCGATCTTGCCTCGCGTCACCTGCTATACGCACCAAGCCACCGATCAATGCAGCGTGATTTTGCAGTGAACATTTTCCATTCGCGTGTCACGTGGCGACGTGCGCGAGTAAATTACCTTCTTGTTGATTGGTCGAGCATGGACACTCGTCGGCGGCGCCTTCTGGGGTTCGTCCGGGACGTGCCGTAGTGAGTGCTCGCTGCCGCGGCCGTCTTGGATGCCGGTGCCGGAGGAAGGAGCGGGCGGCAGCGCGACGCCGGCGGCTACGACGGCGAGGAGTGCTAAGGCAGTGAGCGGCACGGCGACGCGGCCGCTCTGCTCCATGGCAATGTTTGCAATGGCTAAGTTAGCTGCTGCTCCACTCGTTTGAATTGGCACGCGCATGTGGCCACGTTTGAACGGTAGGCCGCGATATATATATATATATACGTGTTGCGTGTGCTTGAGTTGACTGATCCCGTGATCCGCACTGTCAGCTCAGTTCGTTACAATCGCCGGTGCCTCCTGAGTTTACAAACCTTCGAAAATGTGCAGCGACAACGGCAACCTATCGTGATCTGCAGCTGTGCCGCAGCCATTGTGCATTTGTGCCGGACTGGACTGGACTGTACATTTCTGCTTTGGTCATGTTCAGAATCTTAGGACGTGACGGCCTGATGGGCAGCGAAAACCTGCTTACCGTCACTGCTCCTAACACAGTTGCACCGCCTCCATGCGTTCTACGAGCTGGGAACATATACTGTGCACATTTCGTGCATACGAATTAGCAAATGTCACAGTAAAAAATTAGACACATACTTTTAATAATGTTATGCATACATGTGAAATTTTATCTTCAAATTTATTATATTTTAACCATAACAAAAAAGACAATTCTGACAGATTTTTACTCTTAAAACCGTCAAAATTTTCATTTTTTTTATGATTAAAATATAATGAATTTAAATATACTCCCTCTGTTTTTTAATAGATAACGCCGTTGACTTTTTCTCACATGTTTGACCATTCATCTTATAATTTATGTAATTATAATTTATTTTGTTATGAGTTGTTTTATTACTCATAGTACTTTAAGTGTGATTTATATCTTATACATTTGCATAATTTTTTTAATAAGATGAATGGTTAAACATGTGAGAAAAAGTCAATGGCGTCATCTATTAAAAAACGGAGGTAGTAACACTTTACATATATGTGCAGTACTATTAGGAGTAGATGTCTGTTTTTTTTTAGATTTGCTAGTTGATATGTACGGAAATCTTGTATACATAGGATATGTTCACCTACGAGTTGGAGGTAATCCATACATTGTGCCCCATCGTTCATTCCGTCGCCATTGTTCCCGTATCCAAATGTTGGTCTTTCCCCTGTCAACGGTCTAAGTGCTTCTGAATAGCATAATAGTACGTTGTCCAATTTATTCCTTCAGTTCCACCCTGCATGCTATTAGTCTAATAAACCTGCAGTAAAACAGAGCAAATGAGAGACAGAGAGCCAATGCGGAAGAAAGAAGAAACCCAAGCACAATGACATCACAAACTGCCACAGAAAATGCGGCACTGTACACCACACTACACATAAGCATCCCACAATGGCGAGGAAGCGCAATATTTACAATTTTGTTCCTTCCCGTCACGCCTTGGAGGGTACACGGAGTGAAGGAAATACAAGTAATTTTTTCAGTACTTGAAAACGAAAAGATCCCGATAAACGGAGCAGGAAGGACCTAGTAAATGCTGTTGAGAATAGTCCCACATTGAAAGTTTAGGGGGAGTGGCACCAACTTAAAAGGGGAGGGGTCCCTCACCTCATGAGCTAGCTTTTGGGGTGTAGAAAGGCTTTCTCCCGGTTGGGCCAACGTCTCCCGGTTTTAGGCCAACAAATGCTACCATAGACTTTACTTATTAATCTGGCTTCAATCCAGGCCCTTGCAAAGCTATCTACATGAAGCCATCCAGATGATTATTTACAGGTGATCATGTAGTGTCCAGCTACTCGGGTCGAACGCTTATCAGGTTGGGGAGCACCGTCGCCTGCAGCTTCTTCACCTCACTTGTCGTGACCCTGCAGGAATCAAGCGACAGCGAGCGCAGGTTCTGCAGATCCTTCAGGTGGCGGAGGCCGGCATTGGATACACGAGTGTTGGAGACGTTCAGCGAGACTAAAGCAGTTAAGCCTGCAAACCGGGCAATCATGTCATATTGTCATGTGATAACAGCACAGATAGACAACAATAGAGTGGGCACATAGGGACGTCATATTTGACACGGAGGAATAATACCAGAAATCAGCTCCAGGGTTTTGTCTGTCAGGTTAACGTTCTGAGAAAGATTGAGTTGCTTCAGAGCTTTGAGATCCTTGATATTCTTCACTCCAGCATCAGTAATTAACCCACCGCAGACTTCAAGAGATTCAAGATTCTTAAAAACTGAAATAGCATAGATCATGTTAGCTGATGTGCCACGTGAACATATAGGATTCAGCAGATGATAATCAATCTGATATTTCTGATAATGCTGCTAAAATCATATGCCACTATGCTTATAAGACACTTATCTATAGATATGTCTACTTGACAGGGTTCAGAGGGAGCAAAATACATTTAGTACCAAGTGTATTGCCTAGTACCAATTTACCATGGTACAGATCAGACCGATAAATATTGGACGAAAAAAATTGCAAGCTCATTTTGTTGTAGCTAACATTAATAAATCCATTTTGTATTGACATTGATGTAGCATTGTATAATGTAGTTGACTCTTCGAGGTACACAGGTACAACCAAGTAATCAACATAGATACTTTCTAGATGATTCTAAGCTAGCCGAAGACCAAATTCAGAGAGTCGTCTCAATAAAATGGACGCAATTATGCAATTTAGTATAATAATTCTAAAATTGAAATAGTTTCAGAGTATGCCCTTACATCTGAAGCAGCTTGTGCCATAGTCCGTTATCCTAGCACCAAAAAGGTCCAGATGAGTCAACCCAGTGAGACCTGCATTACCTCCCAAGGATCAAAACTAATATAAAGTGTCATTGAAATTAGGATTTGCAACTACTCGCTGCATGTTAATAGATCAAGTTACATATGATCTTGCAAAATTACACCAAAACCCCCACGAGATGCAAGGTATCAAACATAAATAAAAAACAAGGCATGGAAAAATTCAGCAAATGCCACACAAATTCATAATCAGTGAGATCCAAAACAAAGTTGCGAAGAAAAAAAAACTGCAGCTAGCAGTTAGCGCCAACCAATACTGATCATTATTATATTAGTGCAATTCGTACAAAAGAAGTATCATGCATTACCAAAGTTGTAGCATATAATACATACTTGTAAGTGCTGCTAAGCCAACATCAGTAATCTGCCGATTGTCAAGATTAACTGACTTCAGTGAATTCAGTGCAGATATCTTCTTCATACCGGTATCAGTAACTAACGTAAACGAGAGATTGATGCTTTCCAAATTCCGAAGGCCTGTAAAAGTTTAATAGCTTTCCAATCAAATGCTTCAAATGCCCGTGCAACGACAACCAAATACAGATAATAACAAAAATAACTGCAGAGGATTTGTGATGTAGCAGGTTGTGCCAGTTAAGCATTATAATCGGATTGAGAAAACTGTACAAAAATCGTTGCACAACTTGACAAGTTTTCTAAGATGATCAGACATAACAAGGATACGATGAGAGCATGTATTAATCATTTCACTTTTCTGAACATTCACTGGTTGCAAACATATTATTCAGTAACTGTTCACATGCTAGATACTACAAATCTACAATACATGCAGTAAAGAGATTAAGAAAATAAAATGATAAAAACAATCACAAGATGCACATAAAACTGTAGCATTAACACATTTATGTTTTGCCACTTGCCGAAAACACTTCATAAAAGTAATCTTGTACATTATTCATGCCAAAGATGCAGAATAAGTCCTATTATCCAGTGTTTTACAACATGAATGACATTGCATGGCACTTAACTGCTAAAAAGGGTTAGAGCTAGAAATATTATTGTTCATAAGTGAAAACAGACCAGATAGATGCTGGAGTCCACTGCTTCCAACTTCGGTGTCAGATAGCTCCAAACTTTTCAAAAGCATAAGGCCTACACATAACATAAGGCATATATAGTCACAGTAAATAGATCACAAATGCACCAACGAGACAATGATAATAATTAATAATCAGCAAACCAAGTAATGCTCTTAAACAACTGAATGTACAATACACAGAAAAGCAGTTATAACAGGTACAGGCTGACATAAATACTATAGACACAAGGAACAAAGTGCGGCTGACAACTGTATCGTACTATTGAAAATCACAAGTAACAAGAAAATTAAACTCTAAGCTATTGGCTTCAACATGTTTTGGGAGCAAAATTGAAAAGGTAAGTTTTTTTTTTTTTTTGAAAGGTGAAAAGGTAAGAGTGAGCAGATAATTCTAACAAATTATGTAAGAGTATTGAAAAATGAAAATGATTAAAAACTAGCTCACCTCTCAGATGTAATAAGCCTTCATCTCCAACCTTGCATGAGTCCAAGTTTAGAGATTCCAAATTGATCAACTCTAGAAGCAGCAAATGTTACCAGTTAGCTACCCAATAATAGTTGTGTGACTTTAAAGTGATATTTCAGTTTCTATGTACACAACACAATGTACCACAAAATACCATGCTCTATCTTCTTTTTCTCTCCAGTCTATGATAACATTCTTGAGAAATATATATAACATATCAATCAGTATAATGCCTCTTTTATTCCAATAATTTGGCATTGAAAGCTCAAACCACAATCAATTTGCCAATTTCAAAATTGCATGGTTAATATTACGAACTTCTACCAGAAATGTCACTGTTTCATGATAAATATCACCAAGTTCATTTCTCCATCCAAATATATTTTTAAAATCCTTACAGGAAATATTCACTAGTGCCTACTGGCTAACATAATGAAGCCAGATATATTGCTTAAACAACAGAGAAAAAATTGACTGCACCACTTATATTTCCTGCATAAACATCCATATTCTTAAATGTAAATAAAGTTCTAACAAGAACTTAGTCTTACCTTTCAGATGTGCTAAACAATCATCTGTGATATTATTGAACCCCAAGTTTAAAACCTTCAATTTTTTAAGACCTGCAAAGCAGAACTGTTGTAATGAATAGAAGAACAGATATGCAGGGCATAAACTTTTCGAGCTGGTGTCAACCAGGTGGAAACATAATATTAGGTAATTCTGTCAACAATTATTTTCACTAGAGTTCACGTCATCAGTTATTACAACTGCCAGTGTATAACAATGACAAAAGGTTCCATGGATAATTATATCTTGAACATACAAAGCTCACAAAACATCCTTCCAGCTTTTATGCAAACATCGTTCAATGCCCCCATATTTACTACTCACCTGAATTTACTTAAAACATGTATGTTGGCATTATTCCAGTTTGTCAGCAGTTGGCATTACAATTACCTTGAAAGTTTTCACAGCCTTCACCGTATATGCCACACCGACTCAAATTCAACACCACCAGAGAAGCCAATCCTACAAAAGGAAATGACACACAAGGTTGTGTTTTTATGGTGTTCTCTAGATGCAATCAGGTGCTTTGAAAGAGGTGAACACTGCCACCAATTGTAGTATCCCAATACACTATTAAGAAAAGTTGCAAGACCTGATATAGCTTCCAAACAGGCAGCAGTCACTGGACAGCCCTCCAAATTCAACTGTGTTAGCTTGGACAAGCCTAGAGAAAACAAATGACAAATAGAAAACATGAGAAGCTTTAGATAAGGTCAGAGGTAAACAATTAAATGGAGATCATGAGTACACCCATAAAACGCAAAACAGAAGGATGACTCTTTCGTCTTTTGGTTGTTCAACCATTAAAAATGAAAGATCAATGTCCTAATCAAGAATGATTAAAATTATGGGCCTGTTTACCTCTAAGATAAGAAACACCCAGATCAGTGATTCTACAACAAGCCAATTGCAATTCTTTCAAATTTGTGAGATCTGCGCAAAAGAAAGGTGCTTGTCAGCCTGGAAAGGATGAGATAAAGAGTGATATATATTCCTTATAGTTTAAAATAACAATAGCTCAATTTCTATAAAAAGTGGAGCTTAAAAAGCACCTTATACAGTTATACTATGTCAAGCAGGAATATCAAAGGAAATAAATATGGGATCCCAATAAATATATGTGCTGTTGTTACCTGATAAGTATTTGATATCTGAATCTGCAATGTTGTTACAATATCTCATATTGAGTGACTCCAGATTCCTGAGGCCTGTAAAAGGATAAATGCAGCCAATATACCAAACTATCAATTTCTAGGCAGTTGAAGTTGCAACCTGACAGGATTATGACATTCAGGTAGGGAGGGGAGGGGTGAAAGCCAAAAGGACTACAAAAATTCAATTTAGAATTCTACATACCCACAGTAGTAAGCATATAAAATGTGATGTTTAGGAGCTGAGGTACCTTTTAAGTGAACAAGGCCACCATGAATCTTTAGGCATCGTTCGAGATCAAGATTTACCAAATTAACTAAATTAGCAAATGCTTCCATTGCTTCAGCAGTAATACCATCGCTGCTCTTGAAACTGAGAGATGTCAGGTTTGAAAGACCTGGATATTTAAAAGGCATGAATATCTAGTTCAACAGGATAGTTAACATGACAAACAGCCAAAACATTCAAGAACTATACAAGGAAGAAACTAATCTATCTAATAAGCGATCAAGTGGGTTAAGTTTCTCAAATAAGGAGTTTAATTATATACTAACAATCTGTTCCAAAACCATCTCTGTTGTAATCATATAATCTTAAGGCACTGCTAAAAGATTTAAGCTCATGCTTAAAGCTCTCCAAGATGACCCAAATTAGTCCTATAAGAGCATGTCTCAGTAAGTAGCATGTTACTGACCTGACAAGATTCCTAGGCCATGCTCTGAGATCATATCACAGTAATTACATGCCAAGCTTTGCATGTTTGGACAATCTCTAAGAAGATATAACCCACTATCAGTTATTTCAGAGCAAGAAATGTCAACTGATAACAATGAATGCCTTTGAGAAGCCACTACTTCCATCCAAGCATCATTCACTCCAGGATACTCCCCCAAATCAATGTCCTGATTGTCAAACGTATGCAGTATTTGTTATCCCACGGAGAAAAACTCAGCCTTATATAGACAATTATCAGATGACCTTCCCAATACAAAAGCTAATTATCAATTACGCATGCTGAGAAAATTCGACTTCCAAATAAAGGAAGTGCAATTAAGAGCCTGCTCTTAAATAAATATATAGTTTGATGAAACTGGTTCCATTTGTTACTTTCTTGCTAAAGTATACCAGCTCTTCTTTTCTTTTTTTTGGTGAGGAATACCAGCTCATTGTTATTGTAACATCATTCTTTTCTTGAAGTCTTGTAAGTACTCATATGTTACAAGACCAAATTATGTGTCATGCCTGTAAGCATGAACAATCTTACCTGTAGTGCACAATCCCGAAAAGTTTCAAGCAATGTCTCCGTGAGACGGTTCGACGCTACCAATTCATTAAAAATCTGCTGGCTGAGATCCCTCGGCAATACAGAAAAACTAGAATACTTGTTAATATCCTGCAAGTACCAGGACGTTAAACAAAAGGCAAGTGAAAATGGCAGCATCCATTGGTGAAATCAAACACATTAGACACCAAAGTACCTCGCAGGCTTTGGCCACACAAAGCTCCATTAGAGATGGGCAACGACCAGGGCCCTTTCCCTGGCCCTTGCGGGAGACATCGGAATTGCTGCGTGGCAGTGTAAGCAGCAGCCATTTCAAGCTGCTGGTCTTTGAGAACCTGGAAGATGTCTGGAAAGAGTCATCCTCGTGCACTAATTGGCTTCTCTTCCTTGAGCAGACAGCACCCATTATAAGTGTGGAAGTATTGAACAAAACAAATCACTTCGTCTATGAACTCCAAAGAATCTCTATGTTCAGACACAATTTTGACCATGAATGCAACTTGTAACCATCTGTGGCCTAGTCAAAATCCTGGGAAATCATCGAATAACTTCCATTCCATTCTGCCACATGAAGATACCATAGTGTTACTGCTGGTGGTTTTTTTACAATTAGATGAATGCTCTTAGATAAAGATCAACTTTATTTAAACTATTTTAATCATGCATCGTACTATGTGTTCCCCATTCCCAATGACAAAAAAAAATGTCATACTAAAATAGAAACACATCGAAACCATACAGGCGTCCGGTTTTTGCGCGATCCTATCAACAGAACAAAATACACTTAAGGATCATCGGTTCCATTCAGAACACGAACACCAGAACCCTCGCTAAGTAAAGCCACAAAAAATAAAATCCTTAAAATCCAACCGAATTAACAGAAAAACCTCACTCAATCGAAACGCAACTGGACCCGAGCGCCGATCAGAACGGCGTCGTACAACCTCACCGCAAGGCCAAATTACTCCCCCAGAAAGCTAGCGGATAAAGTTAACCCCCCGAAAAAATCTCCAAAATCGAGTGAAGAAGCAACAGTGCCCAAACTAATCCCGCATCACCCGCACACGCAACAGAAAAAAAAATCCCAAAACAGCTGCGCACGGAATTCTCACCCACACCACCCCACACCGGAGCTCCGCCACCGAGCCGCCACCGGCCCACCGCCACCAACCCAAACCCCAACTCTCCGCCCGGGCAGTGGCTAGGGTTTAGCTAGCTCCGCGGGGCGGCTTCACTCCCGCAGCTGCGACCGCGACGGAGGAGATTGATGAGAGAGATCAGCCACCTCCTCACCTCGCCACGCCACTCCACCAGCGCTCATAAATATCCCGACGAGTTCTCGCGGATGGAGAGAGAGAGAGAAATAGAGAAAAGCGAAGGGAGGTAATGCGAGTGGGCGGAAAACTGTTATAGCGCGGCGGGCCGGGGCGAGCTCCACGCGTCCCGCGGCTCGCCGCGCGGGCGTGGCCGCTGCCACGTGGGGGCCACCGGGGGTGGGTCCCACGTGTAGGAGGAGGAGAGCGGGCGGGCGGGTAGGGGAATGGGTCAGTGGGGGCAGAAGTGGGGGGGGGGGGGGGGAGGGGGTGGTGAACTGGTGATAGATAAAGGCGAAGGGGGGCACGCAAACGCGAGTGAGCGAAGGGCCGCGATCGTGTGGCCCTCTTGGTATTGGTCTTATTCTTTTTGGCGTACACGTGGGCCCCGTACTGACTATAGTGATGATCGGTACTTCTTTTTTTTTCAGAAGATCTGTTGGATCGTGTAGCGTCTTATCCGATCACACGTTGTCATGTTACGAGACAGAGGGAGTAGGATTTTAGGATCGAATTAAACACAATCTAATATAATAAATTTAGATAAAAATCTAAATAAGGAAGTCTGTCTAAATTCGTTGTATTAAAATTGATAAATTGATAAGAATCTGAGTCATCTAGATTCGTTGTTTATGTGAGGTTGTGGCTAATTTGGTTTTAGATTGCTATATATTTTAAGAACGAATGAGTAATCAGTTATGTTGTGCTACTTATGGTACTGTGCAGTATTTCATCCATCCCAAAATATAGTAATTCATTATTGGATTGGGTATAACATAGTATTACAAATATGAATATATCTTCTGTTTAAATTCATAATACAAATTGCGTCTAATTTAATACTAATTATATTATTTTAGAATAGAAAAGGTAGCATTTTATAATAAATAAGGATTTTGTTCATGTAGGTACATGGAAAAAATCCTTTATATTCAGGTAGTGATCATTATCAACTTATCGTTGTCGCTAGCTCGCTCCAGGCGTTTCGATCTTCTGAATTGACGAGAGAGTACGTAATAATATAGCTCACCTGTTGGGAGGAAAGAGGGGAAATGCCATATCAATTTCATTTGAATTATGTTCGGATTTTGCCGGAATCAAGTCAAAGGCAGCCTAATCTCAGTCTGACGCAACTTTGGGGGAGTATTTTAGGTGGCTGCACCATCGGAAAATTTCAGGTCAGGACAGCAACGAGTTCTCCAGAGAGTTGCTGACGTGCTTGCTCCCTCTAGGAGTCAACGACCCAAGCGTGCATATATGCTACAAGTAGTATAATACACAGTAGTAGTACCGCACAAATTTTGACAATTTAATCATTTACAAAAAAAACTATTTTTACAAATGAACTGCTGCCAAAACTTATTTTAAATCTGACCCTTTTGCTCAACGCTAACTCGTGTGGCGCTGAATTTAGACACCTCAGCGTCAAATAGCATGGCGCTGAATGTACGTTGACACACTGACTTAGTCTCTCATCCACCGTGGCACGGCATTCAGCGCCAGCTGACGTGACGTGACGCTGAGGTGTCTAAGTTCAGCGTCATATGATTTGATGTTGAGTAAAAGGGTCAGATTTAAAATAAGTTTTGGCAGCAGTTCATTTGTAGAAATAGTTTTTGCAAAGGGTCTCAAAATTTGTGGAAGTACCGTGTCGTGCTATTAATAACTCAGTTACTTTACTGTCTACTCTCCATTGACACAATCTAGTACTACTATTAAACATTTCTCTGATGCTACCTTCACAAATCACACACAGCCAAAAGGAGCGATCTAACGCTCGATCATTTTCTGCAAAGTGTAGAAAGCGATATAATTCCAAGCCCAGATTAGATGAACAAAGTAATGCCCTTTTGTCATCAAAGGTTGCTCTTTAACCAAGCATGTAATGATCTTGTCAAACTTTTTTTTCTCCCAAATTGGACCATCAGTTGCAAGTGACCCTCATTCTCATGGCCGATCCTTTTCCCTGTCTCTCACACATATGCTTTCGCTTCACTGTAGTGCGCGGCGCAAAAGCAAACTTTTGAGATGTTTTTTTTCCCTTTGTGCTGCATTTTCGTAGCAATTTTTTCTGGACGGTGATTAGAGATATGATGAAAAAACAGTACTTCCCATTATTTTAAAGTACACGACTTTTAAATATACATTGTGTTTGACCATATATGCCTTATCTAAAATTGTATATTGTCAGTGATATGGACCCGGTGTACCACGTACAGAGGGAGAAGGCTGCCCCAAACCCACGTGCCCCCCCGGGGGTCGGGCCTAGGGTTGGAGCGGCGACTGCCTACCATGCCAGGGGTCGGGCTGCCCCGGGCCCCCGACCCCCTCCACGCTCTGTCTCGCGCGTGTGGCTTGGGCGGGCACTCCCAGCGCCCACCTACAGCATTTATTGAGGCAGCACTAGCGCGGCACGTCGCATTTAATGCGATGTGTAGGCGCACTAACTGGCCACTTGTGGCCGGAATGACCGATGTGATGGCGGTCAGGGAGCCCTGCGCATGCACCTGTTGCTTGAAGGGGACGTGGCCTGCGGCTGCCCGTCTAATCGCCATTAATGAGGGGATTTTTGCCTTGCATTTGAGCTCGGACCGGTTCTTCTTACACCGGTCCGTATGAGAGATCCCCACCCAACGGTGGGAACGGACGACCAGAAGTCATCGATAATTAAGAATGAATGACACAGGCGTCTGCCCGTGACGCTCGGCGTGATGGGATGGGCCCATGCAGCGGTAAGGCGCGCGTGGCTCCACACGTCGGAAGACAAGACAAGCATTAATTGCCTGTAAAGAATGTTTTCCTTACCCTTGAAGCTAGGTCTTGAGCCTTTATGGTAATCCCTTAAGATATAAAAGTAGGTTCATACCCTAATGGAGACGGGGACGAATCCTAGAGAAGAAAAGCACTTGTATTCTCCCACCTAAATCAACCACACATATGAGTAGGGTATTACGTTTTCATAGCAGTCCGATCCTATATAAACATCTTACATCTCCATCACTCCCGAGGGGCCCGACCCCCTCTGCCTCTCCCCATCAACTCTGAGACCTTTACCCGTGCCCCTAGACCGAACCAGAAAGGGATCTCCACGGTCCCTTGCTTGAGAAGTTCACCCTCAGACATATATAAATATGAAAAACAGAAATAACGCTTAAAGTATTTTATGTTAAAATAAATACTAAAAATATTTATATAATTTCTAATATAATAAATAGTGAAAAATATGTCTTAAAATTAAATTGTTTTAAAGTTAATGACATTATGTATTAAAAATCTAAAGAGTGCCGAGTGGAATAAAGATGATGTGTGGTGGTGGTGGGTTTTATGTAGACGATGCTGGTTGTGGGCCCGGCGGCTATTGTTCTGTAGTACCTGTGACGATGCTTAAAGTCTCGCGTAATCTATCTGCCTATAATGGAACGTGTCACTAGCGAAATCATCAGTATCCTAATCGCCCTGTAGCTAAGCCATCGCTCGTGTCCTTTCTTCACCAACCTTCTTTGCTCGAGATTCGGGACACGTCATCGTGACTCAGTTTGAGTAAACCTCTGTTTATTTATTTGTAAATTTTTTGACACGTCTAGGTCAGGCATTTCGATTTGGCACGTCTTGTGAAAACGTGCGACGGGAAGAGACAAGTTACGCATTTTTCATCTCATCCCCCATGGCCACTTGTGTTCTTTCTTTTCTTCTTTTTTTCCCTTTTTTCGTTTTTCGAGAGGACACTGACACTGACCCGAGGCTCTCGCCCAAACCTGGGCCGTGATTGGGCCGAAAGATTGCCTTCGATGGCGTGTTGCTAATTAGGCCCAACTACTTGCAAATTAATCGAATATTGGCCTAGCCAGCAAGTGCAAATTTCACGTTTTTACGACAGTGCAAATATTGGAATTGGATGACAGTTACTAACAAGCCCGTCAACTTTCAATTTATCAAGAAGACAATAACGTGTGTAGCCTTGATTTTTCTTCTCAAGATATTCATGTTAAGACTTTTATTTCGAAATTTGGATGACCGATTCAGGTTTCAGACCATGTGCATAAACAAAGGAAAGTGTGCACTAATGTGACTATGTGAGCACCATCATAGCACTGAGAAAGCTAGACACCGGTACAGAAGACATGCCAGTAAAAGAACAGGCAGACACGCCTATGGAAACTGGAATACTTTTCTCATGTTGCACCTTTCCAGAAGTTTGAACAAAAAAAAAATCCCAATGCTTTTAGAAATAACCAAGCAATTGGTGATATCAACCATTTCGATAGCTTTCCCACTTGCACCTGAATACCTGGTAGTTCCATCGGATTATCTTGATTATTACAACTTATTCCATGCGGAAACCCCCTTAACGCTCTTTGATCTATCAAGCCGACGGCGCTACCAGTTCAAAATACAAGCAAGAAAAGCCAAACCAAATGGCGAGGACAAAAAGGGTATCACGTTGGATTGCTCAGCAGCTGGTAAATACGGCCAGGCAAAATGTGATACGTCGAATTGATGCACAAAATGGACACCGGTGTTGCGGTGCTGCATCTTCTGAATTAGGTTGGATTGAACCAGCTACCCATGGAACCATTCATGTGGCCATTTCCATGGATGCCTGCACCATTAGGTGCTACGGACGATGTGGGGATCAGCGAGGACGGCAGACCAACTGCCATTGAAGGAGGCGAGGAGTATAAACCTGGGACGTGCGGGAGCGAAGGGGCACTCAAGCGATGACTGCTACCTTTCCTTTGCCGAATTGCATGTATCTGTCTTAAACCCCGCTCGTGGATGTTTGTGAGTGTCTCAAGCTCATCCAGTGATAAAGCTTCCACGCCGACACCATACACGGGAGCATGCCGTGCCATCTCTTCCTGAATTGAGGTCTCCAGGGTGTGAATATATTGCTGCAATAGGAAGATATGTGTCAGAAATCAAATATAGTGTGAAAAGGTCTGGGGAAGTTATTAAAGAAGAAAAAAGTGAATTGTGACAAATACGGTGAGCTTTTTCATCATTACGATTTACAAATACCACTGAACATTCCAAAATCATTTAATCATTTAAGAGCAGAAATATA